ACATTTAATAAATAAATAAATATTTCTAACACTCACACCAATTAGCCTAGCCCCAAAGTAAGCACTATAAGGCTTGTGTTAGGGTGCGGCCAGAGTGCACTCAGATTCAGATTCAGATTCAGATTTCGAAAACAAACGCGAGAAATAAACAGTGTAGTCGAAGGGTACGGCCAGATTGCACTCCTGATTCAGATTCAGATTCAGACTCAGAAAACAAAGCGCGAGAAAAAGCAGGCAACCTGCTTAGACTACACTGTTTATTTCTCGCGCTTGTTTTCGAAATCTGAATCTGAGTCTGAATCTGAGTGCACTCTGGCCGCACCCTTATGGGATAGGTACTAGGGTAACAGATAGAATACATATACTGTACATGTATAAGTATATTTTTATAGAAATACATATTACACATCCATGGCTGGAGTACAAATGCTCGTATTCATCACACAAACATCTGCCCCCACCTGGATTTGAACCCGGGACCTCTCGGCCACGGAGGTCGTCGAATTACCTCAATACAACACGTTCGGAAAAATATTAAAAACTTTGAAACGGTTCTTTCGACGTTCAATCACACAAAAACAATTTTTGTTTGTTAATTTTCAAGCACGGTACAAGCTGTGGCAGAGACAACGAACCACAGACTATTTAGATACTGCAACGAACTTGTGAGCAGTGTTGCCAACTCGGATTTAGAAAAAGGCGTAGGCCCGATGAGAAAATTACGTAGAATTGGTAAATTTTGCATATGAAAAGTAAGTAGATCTACGTAATTTTTTCTGAGTGAAATGAAGAAGTTAGGTGAAACCGAATAAAACGAGTATTTTGTTATACAATTTGTTTAAGAACGGGAGAAAGAACAAAGAGTTCTTGGAGAAGTCGCTGCATTGGAAGCATTTATCATGCTGCTGTAAACATTTACCATCAGACACAGACACTGGTGGGTGCCGATTCTGGATGGTTCTCTAAATTTAAAACTTAATTTAACATCAGTCTCTCCTTTTCATTCTGTATAGAGAATGACAAGGATAAACTGTTGTTGTATGATAACTAGTTGACACTTTTTGGAATTATGTTTTAAATTGGTAATAATTGTTCTATCACAACGAAAAAAAATATTTTTTTTTACCTAGAAGACATACAAAAACGCTATTTAGTCTATAGACTTATCTATGCTATGACGTCAAAACATTTGTAAACAAACACTCGCAAGCCCGTAGGAAATAAACTTTCTAAGTTAATATTATAAAACCATGATTTCTAATAGATCACATGAAAAATATAGTAGTTATCATGATACACTTGGTAAAAGACTCCAGAAAAGTTGTGGTTTAAATTGCCAAGAGAAATAAACATACTTACACATGAACATATGCTTAAAACTTGCTAAATCCTGTAACTTTATCGACTGAAAGTCTTTTCTTTTTGCAAAGATCAATTCGATGTGAGTAGGTGCTCATTGATAATATTAAAAGTTTAAAAATACAATTTTTAAGGTTATGAATGTACCTACTAAGTCAAAGAGTTTTGTCGTTTCTGCTTTTACAAATCCTGAGGCCAGCATTAATTTAGTCAACAAAACCAATAGGTAACGGGAACCTTTTCTACAAGATACAAGAGTGTTTAGATACATCTTTATAAGAAATAAACATTTGTATAGTTTTTAAGTAAAGTAACGGAAAATATTCTTCTTTATTCTAGTGAATTAAGTTATTTTACAAATTTGAAAAAAATTAAGAATATACGTAGATTCTGGGACTGAAGTTAGTAGGTTTCCAGAAAAGGCCTAAAATACGTAGATCTACGTAAAAAGACGTAGAGTTGGCAACACTGCTTGTGAGCTTGACATACGTGTATACCAACATCATAAAACTAATAGAAAGGGACGGAGAAATGTGCATTGTAACTTTGTACCCCGTGTAACACTGTGCCCCCACCTTACCCTACAGATAAAGGAAAAAATGCGAAATCTATAAATTTTTAGTTACATCTTAAAATAAAAAATATATTTGAAAATTCAGGTTTCTACGGAACCCTCGGTGCGCAAGTCCGACTCGGTTTTTTTAGTAAGTAATTAATTAAAAAAATACATCGGATACATCAATCAGTCGATTGTAACACTACAAGCACCTCGCTCGACGGCTATGCGCCGCCGCAGCCGCACTCGGCAGGGTCCTCCCTAACGTGGGGGGATCAGGAGATGCGTGCCGTCGACTGTACCACGGGGTGATACGGTCGATGGCACTTTATGGAGCTCCGGTTTGGGCTGAGTGCCTCCCCCCGCACGGTGGCCCTGCTGCGACAACCGCCGCAGACGCCGTGGGATCTCGATGCGCAAGTCCCGGCAGATACCTAGTTCTTTCGCCAAACTACAGGTCAAACCCTGTTGCTCGATGGATGAAACGTGTACCAGCTAAGAAAACCCCTCGGCGATACATATTGGGCATTGTTTGGGTCAAAGTTGTCCAAAATCAATAGGAACAGGTTTTCCCAGCCCAAATTCACAACAGTCGATTGGTAGACAAGATTTTACTATCTGCACAGGATATTTAGCAGCGCCTTCTGCTTTTCTGTTTTTAAACGACTGCCAAAAAAAGGGTGTTATGTTTTCAGAGTTCATGTATGTATGTTTCTGTATCCCACCATGATTCTACCACAACCTCTGTATGGTATGGTTATCCTGGTTGAAACAGGATAACTACACTGTTAAAATTTAAATAACAACAATGGCAAAATGACAATTTTATTGTTTACGTCGAATATATATATATATATATACGCATGTGAACAGCACATGTCCGTTTTATATTATATAGAATAAAACGGGCATGTGCTGTTCACATGCGATAGAAGTGAAACCTACATAAATGTGAACACGTTAAAGTCCTTCATGACTAGGTACTGTAAAATACTAGACAAAATTAAATATTCTCTAATCAAATTGTTTCGAACAATCAATATAAATAATCTATACATAATTATAATAAAGTGGTAGGAAAGTCAAAACTGTACATTAAATATTTTTTTAAAAGAATACTTGGACTGTGATCTATAGTCGATACCGATGCCAAAAATATATTTTTGAAGTTATACTTCTTTAGGCGCGTTATGAAAAAATGATGAGTGAAATTATAAGATGCGCGCGCATCACTGTAGCACAAAAAATTACAGCATGAAGTTGGTCGCTTTTGTGTTTACCGCACATTAAGAAAATCTTTATATATATAATTCTTCTGTGAGTGTGTATGTCACTGAACTTCTCTTAAACGACTGGACCGATTTTGATGAAATTTTTTGTGTGTGTTCAAGGGGATCTGAGAATGGTTTAGATTCACAAAGACGTGTAGACAGGACAACGTCTGTCGGGTCCGCTCCGTGGGTCCGCTAGTCTACCAACAAAATAGAAATAGAATCTCTATTTGGTGAGTGCTAACGACTGCATTGTGAAGGCCTATCAAAAGTATTTATTAATCTGGAACAACGGAACCAAAGCGCGATTCAGGAGACTACAGCGCCATCTCTTGACCATTGGTGTAGTAGAACCAAAAACCACATCTTTATTTTTTGTAATAAAGTAACAAAAAGTATTTATTAATCTGGAACAACGGAACCAAAGCGCGATTCAGGAGACTACAGCGCCATCTCTTGACCGTTGGTGTAGTAGAACCAAAAACCACATCTTTATTTTTTGTAATAAAGTAACAGTTATAGGTATTCATATTTATAATATTTATCCACATGTTTCTAGTTTGTATATTCGGAATACGTGTTTGAGTTTCATACAAGTGCAAATCACATATGTTCTAATAAATTATATTCAGTAGCGATTTTAATTGAATATTTTGATTATTTATTTATTTTTTCAAATTAAAACTGAACTTTATTGACTGTGTCTTTTCCAGACTTTTTATTAATTTATTGTAATTAATTATTTGCATGCAATTAAAAACTAATTTTAAACGATGCCAAAGAAGGATAACTTCTCACGCGCCTACATAAGTACACGCACCCATTTTTTTTTAGAATTTTTGACTCACCAAGGTGTTAAAGAAGTTTTCACTTCAAAAAACTTCTTATCGCTACAATATAGTTACCACTTGAAAGGTCTTAATGTAACCATCTGAGATATATACAATGTAGCATTAAAAGTGTGTGAGTGATAAATACTAGAAAAAACATTGTTTACTTGACAAGAGACTAAAAAATATTAAAATAAAATTGAATAGGTAGGAATTAAAAAATTGAACAGAGAGTAAATAATTAGTTTTATTTTACGAATAGGACAGAATCCTGAAAATATTAAAATGAGAAAGTTTGTATGTTTGTGTGTGTGTATGTTTGTTACCCAAACACACAAAAACGACTCAATTGTTTTGGATGAAACTTGGCACACATATAATTGATTACCTGTATTGAGACATAGGATACTTTTTTATTTGGTTCCTCAGGGATTCTCAAAAAAACTTATTTTATACGTTTTAGTTCAATTATTTCATTAACTGCAGTCGTGTTTTTTTTTATTTCATCTGATCCAGCATGGAAACCTTTGCTCGTCATACAAATCCTCGCGTTCTTATCTGTCGAAATTCTTGTCCGACTACTTTTATGAAAAGAGAACAATTTTTTTAAAGAGTTTATTAAATTTTATTTTATTAAATTTTCCATAATAATTAAGTACTTACATCAAATTTAAATTAAACTTACAAACGTAATTTATTAAGTTATTTAACTCACAGATAAATAAAATAAATATTAAATTTTCATTTATATTTTCTAATTCATGTTTTAGGCATTTTTACCTTATAATTTTACACAGTATTCGTAACGAAATATTATCTGTATGACCAGGGGGCCATTCGCCTAACGGAAATGCTTTGGAAAATGCTAACGCTTTCGATTTCATTTTGTATTTCTGACTGCCGAAGGTTTTCAAATACCCTACGCTCATTTTCTTCAATATTGTTACTACCAATGCAAAAGAAAAAAAAAGAGCGCGAGGCGTTTGAAAATCTCAGGCGGCTAGAAATAAAAAATGAAATCGTAAGCGTTAGCGTTTTCCAAAGCATTTCCGTTAGGCGAATGGCCCCCTGATGGTATTGGTACATAAGTACGTATAACTAAAATTTGATTTTTAAAGAGTGAGAGCAGATAGCCCTGACCTATAAGCCTCCGCATTCGTCCCCAATTAATTACCTAATTCGAACATAAAATCTAATATCGCAATATTATTATCGCAAATTATACATAGATAGGTATAAACTTATTTACTTTTTTCAAAGCTCTCTCCTAGATTCCAGTACGATTTGCTTTAATTTTCTTGCAGCTACTTTGCCCGTTGAAGTCAGTGGTATCTCGTCGAGGAAAACCACACCTCCACGTAACCTTTTACCCTCGGAAAGTTTATCTGTAAAATAAGCATTTTTTTCATATTTGTTTCAGTTTTTCACGCACATCACTCGTTAAATAAAAGTAGTTTTAACGAAAAAGCTGCGAAACGTCAATAAAGAAATAAAGTTCGTGCATTAACCCGCTAAAACCAGTTTTTTTTTTCAGTTAATTCAATAATTGAAATGTTTGAGTTATGAGACAATTTTATCGTAAAGCCTTTGTCGTATTAATCCGACCAAGCGTTCGTTCTAATCTTTACTCACTTATACTGATCTACCGGAATTATCATTTTTTTTTGTACTAACAAACATTTAAAAAACAATGATTATAATAATAAATCATTGATGTATTGTTTGACAAATTTTACCAATCACAAGAAAATTGGGGTTTTCTATTAAGTTTATCGCTTAAAATAACGATAACCATTTTAAAGAAAAGTTTACTAGAAAAAAATCATAACTATAAACCATTTTTATAATATTTTTATATTATATTAATCCACAATGTGAGAGGTTAGAGAGGAGCTCGATAATGGTAGTAATAGTTTATGCGTTTTTTCTGTGATCGTAGAAGTTAAGCAATCATAACGATGGGCGTTCATAGGATGGGATACCAACTATCGCGAGTTTCTCAGTGCTTAGGAAAACACTTCAGGCTGTTGGTCCTGACTGCATCTGTAGTCTCTCGCACCCACAGATTCGCATTATGTACCAGAAGTGACGAGTGGGGCCATTAAAGGCTCAATAAAGATGGTGACATGAAAAGGTAAAAAGATCAATTTCGCAAAAATAGTCTGTATCCGTAAGATCTAGGTAGCAAAGCGGTCAGTGCTTTTGCACGAATAGCGAACGACGCTGGTTCGAATAAGTCTGTTACCTTGGCCGAGTCAAATATTTCTTAATCGACTTTAAAAAAGGAGGAAGTTCTCAATTCGGTCGGAATAAGTTTTAATTTTGCGAGCAATGGAGAGAACGATGCTAGGTGTTTCCCTACGTGATAGAATCAGAAATGAGGAAATCCGTAGAGGGGTCATCCATAAATTACGTCACACGAATTTCATGTCTTTTTTGCCCTTCCCCCCGTCCTTGTCACAGCTGGTCACATTTGTAAGACTCCCCCCCTCCCTAGTGTGACGTCACATATTTTGCAAATTTACATTTAGAAATCATTGAATGAAAACAGCGGTTCTGTAATCAGTTTTATTTCCATTTAAATTGTTTTTTCATTATTATTATAATCAAATCAAACAATTAACAAAACAAAAAAATTACCGAACAAAAAGTGATTGACTGTGTTAATTTAAGAAATTAACAAAACATAAAATATTAATAGCATTATAATTAAATTAAAGATACAAACTTAATAATCTTGAGTCCATGGACATTGATCCCACTCCTTTAAATTATTTATAACTGGCATAGCACCACTTTGTTCTCGTTTGGGTTGTTAATGCTTTCGTAAAGTAATAGTTTCAACACTTAGATTTTAATATATTTTGAAATGTGACGTCACGAAATTTAGGACCCTCCCACCCCTTGTCACACGATGTCACATTTCGTCGACCCCCTCCCTACCCCTTAAAGTGTGACGTAATTTATGGATGGCCCCAGAGAACCAAAGTAACCGATATCGCTCGAAGGATTGCTCTGCTGAAGTGGCAGTGGCCGGGCACGTAGCAAGAAGAACCAATTGCCGCTGGGGCAAAAAGGTTCTGGAATGGCGACCACGCACCGGACGACGCTCAGTGGGCACTGGGCAGGCCCCCTACAAGGTGGACCGACGATCTTGTGAAGATCACGGGAAGCCGATGGATGCGAGTGGCACAGGACCGATCGGTGTGAAGATCCTTGGGGGAGGCCTATGCTCAGCAGTGGGCGTCGTACGGCTGACATGATGATGATGATCAATAAAGAAACACATTACATACAATATGAAAATAGAAATGAAAATAAAGAGTCACAGGCATTATTTACTGCTACATATATTCCACAGAACTCACCAGCGACTATTTCTACGATCTGCTTTGCGCTGATATTCGCTCCGATTTCTTTGACAACGCAAGCCACAGGATGTTCGCCATCTTCAGCGTGTGGTACGGACGTCACTGCAACATCGCGAACTGACGGATGCTTACGAATCAGCTCTTCAAGTTCAGCTGGAACTACCTGTTATGTTGGGATACACAAAAAAATATATTAGACAGATAGAAAGATAATACTTTATTGAACACACCACATTATAAAGTACAAAGTTTGGACATTAATTTAAATAGGTGGACAATTGGCTATGACTGATATTACTAAAGTGAAAGAACAGCTCTTAAACTAGTTACCCCTTCTAAGCATATTTTCAGCACAGTGTGGTGTGATATTTATGGATTTATAAGTTTAAATGAAAGAGGGACGCAGAAAGCCAATAATTAAAATTAATAAATGACACTACAGCTACACACACTACCACGTATTTAAATAAAATACGCCCAAAGTAATTATAAAATGAAATCTGTGTATAATATAAAATTAAATCCTGAAACATAAAATGGTCGGCTACTACATAGTTAATATTATGGGGCAATAAATATCAGGTTTCATAAATCTTAGAGAACCCTTATAAAGTGGCATAGCATTAATAATTATATTGATACCTAAGGGTGCGGCCAGAGTGCACTCAGATTCAGATTCAGATTCCGAAAAAAAGCGCGAGAAATAAACAGTGTAGTCTAAGCCGGTTGCCTGCTTTTTCTCGCGCTTTGTTTTCTGAGACTGAATCTGAATCTGAATCAGGAGTGTACTCTGGCCGTACCCTTCGATTACATTGTTTATTTATGATTTTATTTATTTTTAAGCATTTAACTGCTAGATGCTTAAATCTAAAGAAAAGTTTACTAGAAAAAAAAAAGCCTAAGGCTAGGAAAATTTCGACACGGCGAAGAGGGCCGTGGTAGCATAATGGTCAGTGCATTCGCCCGGATTGCGAAGGATGCGGGTTCGAGTCCCGTCCGCTGCCTGGTCCGCGTGGATTTTTTTCTAGTAAACTTTTCTTTACATTGTTTATTTCTCGCGCTTGTTTTCGAAATCTGAATCTGAATCTGAGTGCACTCTGGCCGTACCCTATAACCTTTTGATTTTGATGCAACCAAAAGTCAGGGCCGATTGTGGACTTTTTGAAATGAAAACTGCTTTAGCGGCGTTGTACACTTTTTTTATAATGGGTAAAAAATGTTAAACTCGCGTCAGGACACGTGGCCTGATCGAAAATTCGTAAAACGAAATAATACAATTGGAAAGGTTGTTAATTTTCAATATATTGCACGAATCATAGTAATATTTTATTTTATAGTATTATAATAATAAGTCTCTAACAAGGGCGTCCAAGTGGCAGCTTTATTGCGAAGAAAATGCATTTTTTTACTATAGATGTTTTACAATAGATGTCGCTAGGTGCGTTTAAATTTGATTCATGCAAGTTGATTTTTCTGAGAGATGAACTTTTTAATGTAATATAAATTGTCATGTTTGTGTACGATAGCGCAATAAATAAATATTGTATTCTACCACATAAATGATAGTACTTTTATACTGATAATTAAAGCAATTCGTGCAAAATTATTCCCTAACCATTCCAAAATATCAAAAATGCACAAGGTTAATATTCAAGTTTTCACTTCTGCCGGCACTCCCAGAGTGCAACCCGTCGTTTTTTGCTCTCCTGGAATTTTGATCTTTTGACCCTATATCAAATATGGTAGGACTTCTAGATTAAAACAAATGGGAGTACTTAATATGGTGCAATGTCCCTTATGTTATTGTGCCGCGCTCGAGTAAATCGCCACATGTCCGCTTGGGCTCCCTAATTCAGTAGAAGTCAGGTGTAGTTAACAATTAATATCATGGCGTAAACCTTTTCATCTAAGTAGGCATTTGAAAATTGAATGGATTTATTTAAGACTAGCTGTGCTCTGGGGTGTTACCTGCGGTTTATCAGTTATATTTTCACGCAGTAAAACGTAGCCTTTAAGTTAATCCAGGGTGTCAGCTAACTGCATACCAAATTTTATTAAAATCGCTCCAGCCGTTTAGACGTGAAGAAGTAACAAACACACACACTCACAAACTTTCGCCTTTATAATATTAGTGTGATAAATTAGTAATGTAAAGATTTTCAGCAATGCCGGTAATTTGGCATAATGATAAATACTATGTTTAAACAAAAAAAAGGGCATTCAACAGCTAAATATTATTTCTAAACGCAATTAAAATAATAACTAGATGTTCAAGTACATAAACTAGGTACCTACATCTCGATGTATTACAGATTTAAACTTACGTGGTAATTTCTGTATTTGATGAGCACCTTCAACCTTTCGACGTAATAGAAGCAATCGGCATCATCCTTATAAAATATATCACCAGTTTTGTAAAATCCGTCTTCAGTGATAGCCTTTTTGGTCTCCTCTGTATTCCTATAGTATTCCTGAAGAATTGTTAAAATCATAAATATTAACTTTACCGAACTATTATTCACTATAGGTACATTTAATCATGGTAAATCATACCATTCTATATAAAACACTTAAAATTCTACAAGAAACAACTCACAGTGAAAAGAGGTCCCCGGATCCACAATTCACCAAGCGCCATAGGTTCCGTCAATTCTTTTCCAGATTCTGGATCAACTATCTGGAAGATAACAGTGTTTGTTTACTTTTAAGTAGGGACAACAAACATCTTATGTATTTCTTTTTTTACTACACTCGTGAGCACAAATATGTGCATGGTCAGTTTTGCAGGAACCTAACCACAAACTGTAGTATGAAATACTGAGGTATGAAAAATCCAATAGAGCGGTTTTGGGCAGTTCAAGTACACATTTGCAGTGCACATTTCAATGTACGTTTTTACTATTTTTTTTTCAATCATGAAAAAAAATTAAAATAAAACTATTTTTTTTTATTTTTTTCATTTTTTTTGTTTTTCAATCATGAAAAAATATAAAAAATAGTAAAACGTACATTGAAACGTGCACTGCAAATGTGTACTTGAACTGCCCAAAACCGCTCTATTGGATTTTTCATAACTGCGCAATTTATAACTTGAAAACGGTAGGTAAGTAATACAAGAAAATTGTTTATACAAAGGTGTTGGTAATTATGTACGAAACAACTTTGCCATTTAAAGTTTTCCATTAAAATGATATTTTCAGGGTGAAAAAGTGAAAAAACACTTTTTTTGAGACTAGCGCCACCTACAATGCGCATTTTTTGTTGTACGAGATTGCAACAATGACATAAATTGTAGCACTCAACGCCCTCTACAATTATGGTCGAAAAAAAGTTTCTAAAATACATACATACAAAATAAGAAAAATGCGTTTCAAAAAATTTTTGACGATTTCTTTGAGTTTTTCAAAAAACGCCTACGAGTTGAACATGCCCATCGCCAAGGTGGCTTACTGACGTCATTTGGCAACAGAAAAAACAAGACTTACCCTTTATGTTTTTTTTTCACTGAAACGATATTTTTTTCGACAGATTGACTGTACTAGAGCTGGGGGCCATTCGCCTAACGCGATTGCTTTGGAAAACGCTATCGCTTGTGATTTCATTTTGTTATTTCTAGCCACCTGAGGTTTTCAAATGCCTAGCGCTCTTTTTTTTGCATTGGTTTGCACAATATAAAAGAAAATGAGCGTGAGGTATTTGAAAACCTTCGGCGGCCAGAAATAACAAAATGAAATCGTAAGCGATAGCGTTTTCCAAAGTTCAAACCAAAATCCCGTTAGGCGAATGGCCCCCTGGTTAGGAATGTTCTGGCCCCTGTACTGTGGCACGGGTAAGCTTGCCAGGTGTCCGGCTTTAGCCGGACATGTTTGGCTTTTTGCGATCGCGTCCGGCCAAATATGTACGTGTTTGGCCTGTCCGGCTTTTGTCAGGCTTTTTGTCAGAGTGGCGATTCGTACGACGATGGCCGAACGAGCGTCCGAGCGGACAGAATTATGTTTGACAATAAAAAAAATAAAACATTGTTTGGCAATAAAAAGAAAATGTCCGGCTTTTAGGGCAAAATGTCAGGCCTTATATAGTGCGCAGTCCGGCCTTTGCATTTTATGGCCTGGCAACCCTAGGCACGGGTGGCCAGCTTCCACGTTTCCACGGGTCTCCTCAGGCCGTGGGGTCGATGCAGTCCTCCCAGAATTGTGCGTTATTTTTTTATTACAATTGTGTCTTAATAAAATATTACATTTCCATTGTCTAAGTAAATTTCTGTAACGATATAAATTCTGCATTCTGTTCTGACGGTCCTGGTAAATGCTTCTTTGTGATGGATACAAGGTTTGATTCGCACTTCAGTATTGTTTATAGCATTTATGTATTCTATCTGTCATTTAGTTATTATTACTGAGTGCAAGTTTCGTCTAGGATTAATAATAAATATTATTGTTAACTTACCTTTGTTTCGTAAGTTTTTATAGGCATTACGAAAGCTTCTGGTGATCCAAACGGGTCAGAGCACAAAACTAGTCCGATAGTTTCTGTTTGCCCGTATAGATTAATTAAGCACGATGTTGATGGTAATCTAGTCTGGAGAAAAAGACACAAGTAAACTTATTTTGTTATTGATTGTCTTTTCATCATTGTATGTACTTGATTAAGTATTTTTCACGCATTTTATGTTTGCCTTAAAATCAGGGCTTGTAACCGGTTTTGAAAATACCGATAAATAAAGGATAATACCAGTTTTTAGTAAAGGTCTTGTTCAGAGCGCGTCCGAAATGAAAGCGGTACCAAAAACCTTAATAAACCGGTTAAATCCATAGCAACACGTGCACGCTTCGGCATCGCTTGAAGTTTGTTTTGTTTGATCTAATCAAGTCACAACTTGTTAATGCTTAGAGATTGATGCAGTGAGTCAAGTTATTCATTTTGTTGTTGTGTACTGACACACTTCTTCACTCACTCGCTCTGTAGTTGGAAAGAAACTGACATAAAATCATTATAAATTTGAATTGAAACGGCGAAGGCGATGCCCTCAGTAAGAGCGAAATGAAACCCTTGAACAACCGCTAAATTGATTCAAAACTCTTTAATTTCGCTTTTTAGGAAAACCGGTTTTTAAAGGTTAAGGTAGAGCCAAACCTTAAATAATAAAACGCTCCTAATGTACTTGATACTGATTTAGGTTTGAAAATTAACCGGTAAACAAGCCCTGTAATGTAGATTGTAATGTTTTTGTTTCTGGCGATGCATATCATTTTATTACCTTCAGAGGTTTTTTATGAAGTGGCTTAATTTGTTTTTTTCCGGATAGATATACCTACGGTTTGCTAAATAAGGTACCTGATACAAATAAGACCTATGCTGAAATAAGGCCTGTAGTGCAGAAAAGTCTATAAAAATATGTTTACATCAAAAATACTTTACACAGGCATAGATGACAGTTCTACAACTCGGCAAACTGTGCACGAGCGGTCCGCTCGAACTCATAGCGTCAGTAGTGGCGGTACTTTGTAGAGGACGAGCTTTTCATAGCGTTATTAATTTGTCGTAATCTTTATGACGAATTTTAATACGTTATTCTTTTAAGTTTTGTTTCATGAAATGTTTACGGATCACTATATAACTAAGTAATCAAAAAGTTGACTATGACTTAAAATTTAACTTTTTAGAATATGCGAATTAAATACTACTTAAAACTTTTATGAAGTATAATGTACTAAATAAAGCCTACTTTTATAAAAGGCCTTAATTTTATCAAATATATCTATCAATATATATTTATTATATTGTATATTGGAAAATATTTAATAATATTTACGAGAAGATATGTTAATTTGCTGATTTTTGTTTGAATGGATATGTTTTTTTTTATATTTATATTATTCTTTATCTCTTGTTAATATGCGACTTCAAATCTGACTAGCAATTTAAGCAAAATATTTAGTAAAATAAATTAGAATGTTGTTCAAAGATCCCATGGAGCACTTGATTAAAGGCTCAGAAATACATATTTTAATATAATTTATACTCTAATAACACTATTCATATAATTTAAGTACATAGGCTTTGTTAGGTCACTATGATTTGAAAAGGCCTAAGGCTAAGGTTTCAGAGTTAGCTCTTTAAAAGTGATTTCTGATAATAGATTGTAATATGTTTTTTAAATTACTTAAAGTTTAGGAACCAAGGAATAATGCCTTGCTTTTATTTATCACCTTCGTCGAATAATTTAACATGATATGAGTGAGTGAGATGAGTGTTTGAAATTAGGTAAGCTTTATTTGTATCACTTACCTTACATTTACTCGTAAGTATAGTATCACTATTTTTATAAACCTCATTGATACATGGAAGTGCTTACTTAGATCGATCCAAGCCTAGATGAAATAGCTTTTGAACTATTTATTTTCAACATGATTTATTCTCCTAATGAATTAATAAGTATTTTACTTACACGAGCTTGATTATATAATTCCTGTCGCAGTTTTGAGCCAATTATAGAGAGAACTTTAAAGCAACTGAAGTCACAATGCTTTTTGTGATTCAAGAGGGACGATAATACTGCAGGACTGGTCAGCAACATGGCGGGCTGAAAGAAAATATTTCCGTTAAAATCCCCATTTTAATCTTATCTTATCGAAGTTTATTTTTTAAGCTTAATTACCTGAATTGTTGTTCATATGTATGCATTTTAAACGAAGTTCATAGACGACAAGTTCGGGATTGTATTGAACATCTTTACTTAGCGGATTTCGGATTGTTATCAAATCGGATTTGTTTTTAAAAGCAATGATAAAATTCCGGATTTACATTTTCATAATTCTCACTGTTTGTAGCAATTGTTATAAATCGAAAATAATAAAATACTTAGTCATCTGAATTTACGTAATTAACTTCTTCACTTAGAAGAATAAGTTTTGTTAACTAAATTATTTTCCCTGACAATGGTTTCAATTTCAATTTATTTATTTGTTTGATTTTATTCTCAGCGCCATGTAGGCCTACAATTACAAGCACTCACACTGAAGTACTTGAATGAGGTAGTGCCTGGGTTGCGGCGTCCGCCATCTCGTTACCAGGCATAGCATTGCAGCTGTATGGACACACACACACACACCCACCCACACTTCATAAAGTTATCATGTGACAAATTCCTGAAAACCCTTTTATATGGGTGTTTGTTTTTCTTTTTTGTCATTTTTTTATGTTTTGTCCAATCTTAATTTTATTTTATTATTTATGTTAGTAAATTATATGATTTGCATACAATTTTTAAATTAAATGTAATAATTACTGACATATAATAACGCCGTTAGTATCTAATTTGTTCATAATGAGTTTCTGTAATTGGCCTTAAGATTGTATCTATATTTTATTGTATTAAATTCCACAAAAAACGCTGTAGAAATTTTGTTAAAGATAAATAAATAAATAAACTTATGTACTAAGTTTATTTATTAAAATAATACCTTGTATTCGTTAATAATATCAAGAAGATGATCTGCGTTTGCTGGTCCAGATGTTTGCAGTTTGCAGTGTCCCAATAATGGTAGGGATAGTGCGTTATATATTCCAGTCAACCAATGTATAGGGCCTACGTTTAGAACGATCTGGTCTGGAGACCTGGAAAGAATGTTATTTTAGCAACAGTGAACCAAAATTATTTGATTCTTAAGTAGTTATAAAAATTTAAAAACTACTGCAAACCAAACATACAAACATATAGACCGGGAGCTGGTGACAGGTGACTTTTCACGATTTTGTCGTGCATGCCTGTTTAAGGCTTGATAACTAACCCCAAAATATCAATGATAATCGGGGTTTTAGCCCCCCGGCGCGTCCTCTACATGAGGAAATTTATGCGTTTCTTGACGGCCTGCTGCGGTGCCGAAGCGGTGTGTTTGTCGTACAGCGTACGGACGATCCTTTTTACCCGGCTGCGCAATGCAAGAGCGCGAAGCGCGACGCGCAGACAGGGTTATGTGTTTAACAGTCTATATATGTATGTTTGTTCCTTTGTGGCACACTAGAGACCAAACGCCTGGACCGATTTTGATGATTCATACATCAATCGATTCGTCTCAATCATGGGAGTGCTACTAAAGATATGATAGTAATCAAAATTCAATATGGGCAAAATTAGGCGCCATATTGTGACGAAGTAAAAAAAATAAGTTGACAAAATATGTCGAGTGGGGTATCACTGTCTAGATAATCGAAAATCATGTTTAGGTTTCTAACACCATTTTTCATTTTATATGATTGTTTAGGATCTACAACGCTTTAAAGTTGTATATTAACCACTTACGCTTTTAATTTCAATCTTACGTTTAGATCTTTGTTACTCTTTCACCTAAAAAATACTGAATGGATTTTAGTGGAACTTAACAGTAATATAGCTCATATATGATAATTACATATATATAATAATTTATGTAGTTATTGAGTGAATTGGCCAATATTTAACAATAAGTGTCACATAAGACGGAAAAAAATCTCCCATCTGCGAGCCATTTTGGCCTGCACTGCAAAAACAATAAAAGTTACATGAATGTAATGTAGAGTGAAAATGTATCTCTTAAATAGTTCTAAAAAAAGTCCGTGACACCATATATCTATTTTTAATGTGAGTCATTACCGCTAAAATAATGAATCAAAACTAAAATATTATTTGATATCTATTTCCAAAATGCACATTTTGTATTAACAAATCATTTTTTATCAAAACAAATACTTTTATCGCTTTTTTCGACGATAAACTTTGCTTTTTACACAATGTCATTTCGACAAATATTTAAAAAGTTACAACGATGACAAAGTGATAGCGCGGTGTACTAAGTAAAAAAAATAAAAAAATGGGCTATTCGCAGTATCTGATCCTATACGAAGTACTAACAATAAAACTGTGATACAGTTCCTTCTTATTAAATGATGAAAAATATATTATCATAATAGGTATTTATGATTATTGAATTTTAATAAAAAACTCAGAATTTTCCTGTTTTTCATTTTTTTTAACGATATTACTTAATGTTACAAAAAAGGTTTACTTAATATAATGACAAATAACCCATTTTTCGCTAGTAAGTACATACTTATTGGAATCCCTGTATTTATTAATCAGCTCGCGATAATATTGCTTTTGTAATAATGCAAAATTCAAAGTAAATAATGTAGATTTTTATAGGTAAATCACACCCCTTTCACCACCCTACGCCTATAAGTATTGCGATGTTGTATCTAAGAACCAAGTTCCCATCTACTTCTATATGGGAATTCATTATATTCGATTTAGCTATTAAGGCACGGAAGCGCAACAAACAAACTCACTTTCGCATCTATAATATTATATTATACTTACTTACTAGTGATCCACCCGGGCATTGTACGGGCGAAATTTATTTATCGGGATAAAATATAGCCTATGTCACTCGGACAAAATGTATTTAAATAAAGAAAAATGTTATAATAAATAACGTAGCTACCTTATGATGAATTAATATTTGAAACGGGTTCAGTAGTTTGACAGATCATTTGTTACAAACATACAAATCTTGCCTTTTTATAATATTAGTATAGATAGTTAGGGTAAGATAAGTATTTAATTGATGAAACGGATTTAAAAATAAAGTAAGTAATAGGTTTATTTGATTATATTTGTAAAAGTTACTTAGCATTTGTGCTTAACAGTGATACGTTATTCGGTATTTTTTTAAACAAAAAAAAAATTGTAAATATTTGCCATGATTGCACTACTGGGAGTACTTTTCATTTGAGCTTTACACTACCAATAAAAAAGGGGCGAACACAAAGTCTTTGACCTGTTAAAAGTGAACGCTTTAAAAGAAAACTACAAAGAGAACTATAAATTGATAATAAATGAGATTGCTATGGTGCTCTACCTAACGTTATGAAAATTTTATTATGCGCCTTTAGTTTAATTTAGTGATCTAAGGCAAGGTTTTAATTTAGTGATCTAAGGCAGTTGCCACCATTGTCCAAAACAACAGACGGGAATTACTTCTTTCTTCAACCTGCGACACGTCATTGATTGGTATTGTATATAGGGTGATTAAACACATTTGAAGTTAACTTCTGGCATCTACATATTGGGTTTCTGTGAATTATGTAGGTATATCAAATTATGAGACTAGGGACTGACACTGAATTTGTGTATATCACAATCTTAGACGTCCGGCATTGACATGACAATGCAGCCACTGCCAATTTTAAATAGTCAACGAATAAAAGTAAATGAATTTTATATTTACTGCTAAACTATTAAAAAAAGCATAAACAAAAGATGACTTTTTGAGTAAGTGCTAATTTTATAAAATTTACATACATTAGAGATATTCATGTAACGACTTGATTTAACTTCACACATTTTTGCGAAAATTGAGGCTGATCTGTAGCCTTGACCCCGCTGGTAAAGTCTTTATATGTCTTAGGTCCGGTTGCTCGAAACTCGGTTACGTTATCTGAAGGGTAAAGTTATAGTTAAAGTAAAAATAACCGGCGGGGTAAATTAAAAAGCGTTGTTGAAGCAACGGTTACTTTAACGAGGGGTTAAATCTCAGATTTGACGGCGGTTAAAATAACCGGTGGGGTGAGGGTCGTTTAAACTTTGACATTAGTAGAAATGTAGTAGTAATCGTTTATAGGTTATATGTAATGTTGCGAGTCATTTATTAAAATGGGATCAGAGCGTTTTGTTTTGGATTTAATTAATGAAGATAGTTCCTCCGACGATGATTTCATATTTGATCAAGTAGTCCCACAAAGACAGAGGAATTTTCGACCACGTACTGATTATTTTCTATGGGAGGAAATGGATTTCAGAGCACGCTTCAGAGTGTCGAGAAATTTGGCTAAAATGCTTGTAAATTTATTAGATTCCCGTCTCAAACGTTTGACCAAGAGGTAAGTCAATTTTTATCCATAGGTAATGTGAATATGATTTCTTAAGGTATAATAGGTTCGTCTCATATTAAACTTACCTGTAAAATAACATATCTAACAATAATATTTGCTTTTTTTAGAAACCATGCAATGACATCTGCAGATCAGGTCTTCATCAATCAATCTTTTAGACCGACGCAAGGTACTTAATAATTACCGCGATATTAATTCCCTTACTGAAGTAACAAGACTACGGTATATACCGTCTTAAAATACTAACTAACTAAAAAGTGTGAAATAAAAAAGCTAAATTTAAAAAATCAAAAAACCCGACTGCTTAATTATACTTCAAAAAAAACTGAAAAGAAAAAAACAAGTCCAGTAGTCTATAATTCTGTTAATAAGGAACAAACCTACTTTAACAGTCGGGACCCATTAGATATTCAAGAATACATAATATTTTTCAACAGTGGGTCCCGACTGTTAAAGTAGCTTTGTTCCTTATTAACAGAATTATAGACTACTGGACTTGTTTTTTTCTTTTCAGTTTTTTTTGAAGTATAATTAAGCAGTCGGGTTTTTTGATTTTTTAAATTTAGCTTTTTTTTTTCATACAAAACGCGCGGTGCGGCCATAGTGCGGCGCCGGTACCGCGAACGTTCGACAACAGGACTGTTGCCACACCGCGCGTTTTGTATGAAAAAAAAGGATCGTCCGTACGCTGTACGACAAACGCACCGCTTCGGCACCGCAGCAGGTCGTCAAGAAACGCATAAATTGAAAGTGCCCTATGATTTGCAATTTTTGATTTGAAATTTTGAAATGATTTGAAATTTGAACAAGAATTTCAAATCACACCTGCGAATTCCGCGGTGGAAAGTGTGTTTGTTGTACCAGTATAGCACTGCTAGAGCATACTGCAAGTGAGTACAGAGAGAGAGAGTGAAATAAAATACACTTTGCTCGAATCTGTAAGAGTAAAACACATGAGCACAGACAATTTAGGCTGCTATGGTATGTAAAAAGGGGTGCTTCAGTATGGGCAAAATACGTGTGAGTGCACTCGCTGTCTACGTTTAAGAAAATAGGCGTTCCACCAACATCTGTTGTAAAGAGAGAGGACAGAGGGATTACAAAATTTAAAGGCCGCTTAACGCAAAGTGGAAGAGATGTGTCAAAAATAAGAAAACATAGTTGACACAATTATGGTAACTGGAATATGTAATACCTATTGATTTTATAGGAATAATTGAGGAATATGCTTACATTGGTATATTTTTAATTAATTTAGCCATTACTTGCAGGTATATTTTAGTCTTGGCTAAAATCTGATCCTGCTTGATGGCTGCCACTTTTACTGCACCGGTGGATCCACTGGTCGCCGGCAGCCAGATATAAACATTGTCCACGTCATAATCTCTTACTCTGAAAGTTATTAAGTATTTTAATGAAGTTAATTTAAAAATGTAGTCTTCATAAGCATTTCAATATTTTTTGAAGTGAATCTTCTTTTGGGACTTGTTGTAAATGGAAAAATCCTATGGAAAAAAGATGAAACGGAAATGCGTCATGAGCGTCACACGCGAATATATATATGTACACAGTCAGGTCATAACTATTGTCACACAGTAAAAACTTTTCTTTTAGAATGCTGGCCACAAAAAAGTTTATTGAATTCGAATTTCGAATTGTTCATGAAAATAAAAATGTATACTTTTTAGAATTTTACTCATTTTTAAATATGCCGCTTAAAGAAGACCGTGTTGCAGTTATTGCGTTGCATGTTGCGGTTACGCGCCAATTAAAATTTTTGACATACTGAATAATTTGAATATAACCAAAAGATTCGTTTATCGTACCATCAAACGATACAACGAAGACTCTTGTGTAGATGACAGTCAAGAAGTGGTCGCCCTCGGTCTGTTAGGACTCCAGCAGTGATAAAAGCTGTGAATTTGTGGTTCGTGCACAAATTATTTTTGTAATTGAACATGTGGCGGTCGTCCCACGTTGCCGGAAAAATGTGGGAAAAGCTGGAGTCCTCGAGATTGACTGAAGTAGGTAATACCGTTATTAACTGTGATTTCAATGTGTTTATGGGCTTCTGCCACATACTGAGAACATTTTATAAATAACAATGTTAGTGGTTTTGTCAAATACTAAACAAAACAATAATTTACTTACTTAAATTCTTCAGCTGCATTACAATCATATTTGTCTATAAATTCGTTCATACTGTTTTCTCCATTCCCAAATCTGATAACTGTAGTATCTAAATTCAAATCCTTAACCACTCGCTTAAATAGTTCATAGGAGTCACCGTCACAGAATGCTATTTTAGGTAAGACTACCTTTAAGACATTTTTCACCTCATCTGCAAAGAAAATAAATAATAAATATTTCCAACACACACCAATTAGCCTAGCCCCAAAGTAAGCACTGTAAGGTTTGTGTTATGGGATACTAGGGTAACGGATAGAATACATATAGAGTACATATCTTTATATATATAATTCTTCTGTGAGTGTGTATGTCACTGAACTTCTCTTAAACGACTGGACCGATTTTGATGAAATTTTTTGTGTGTGTTCAAGGGGATCTGAGAATGGTTTAGATTCACAATTTTGTCCGCTGGACAATGTTTTTTTAATTATTTTTTTTTTATGGCGGTACGAAGTTCGCTGGGTCAGCTAGTATAAGTATATTTTTATAGAAATACATATTAAACATCCATGACTGGAGTACAAATGCTCGTATTCATCACACAAACATCTGCCCCCACCGGGATTCGAACCCGGGACCTCTCGAGTCGGCGACACCATGAAACCGGGCGTACAAACCACTCGACCACGGAGGTCGTCAAAAATAAACGATTGCCTACGTGTAGGTAACTAATAACATTGAAAACATTTGACAAAGGAGTTCTACTCAAGAAGAAGAAAGGATGATGGGCAAAAATCTATGGAACTTGGTATCCGTTCCAATAGAGATGTTTTACATATCATTTGAAAGGTCTACTTGAATACAATAATGTCTACTATGGCGCTTGCCCTGATACGTTGTCGAAACAGAGTTATATAATAAATAATAAAAAAAAGTTTTTCCTTTTTAAATTGTTATACATTTTAGTGTTTACATTATTTTAGCAGTGTTGTAAGTATTAACAATAGGCATTAGGTTAGAGCGTTGATATCTGCAATAGTTTAAAAAAAAGTATTGCAGATACCAGTGGCCTTCCGACTTAGTAACAATACAACCTCCTGAGAACTATTTAATGTTTATCTTTAACGAGAACGTTACATAGGTGTATATAGAGGGGGCGGGGGGGGGGGGGGGGGAGTGGGCCGTGCCCACTCCAGGACGGTCTTGTGCCCACCCCAGGATGTTGGACTACCGATTCCAAATTCTTTAATACTAATCACTAACTTCAGATGACTCTTCAATGTCAGGGCCCGCCCCCCCCCCCCCCACCTTGAAAAATAACCCTAGATACGCCAATGACGGTAACACTTAATAAAAAACTTTTTTAACAAAAATAAAAATAACAAAAATAGATTTTAAATATTAATTTTTGTTGGTACATTGTTTTTTTTCATTTATTTTTTTATGTATGCAGTTATACAGAGGCAGAGTGAAAGAAACACATTTTGGAGTAATTACTTTATTCATTATTTTTAATAAGGATGTCATTTAGGAACAGTGCAGGAGCGACGAATCCGGCGTGCCTGGCATAGCCTGGGTACCATATAAGTAATTGATAATATGTGAGCACAAGTTCCTATGGTACGTCTACCGGTTAGACATGTACAATAATGTTGAATTATAATATTATAATTATTATTCGGTAAGTATAATAATGTAGTAATAATGGTAATAACGGTTCCGGCAAAAATGGTTCTGGTATTTTCTGGAAAAAATAAAAACGGACAAAAAATATCAGAATGCCGCCATAGTAACTAATATTCTTCATGAAAAGAGGTATTCAATGATATATCACTCATCGCTATTGATACCAAACACCAATTGGATACCAAAATGCCCGTCCTCCTTTCATGACCAAATATGTTTATTTGTAACCCACAAAACCCGAAGACAATTTTGTTAACTTATCAACTTAACTAAGTTGATAAGGTTGTGTATTAAGAAAGTGATGTCGTTATAGTTACATTAAAGGCAATTGTCCTAGTACATACAAAATCTTGGCATCATTACCATCAAGTGCATAAATTAATTATTTAGTTTTACTAAGAAATTACAGTAGCTATAAATAATCTTACCATACTTAAACGAATTGTCGACTCCACAAATTGGTAGACCATTAAAAAGTGCTGCATAATAGGGAATGTGCAAATCCAAGTGGTTCTTCCCACATATAGTGAGGACGTCCTTTGGTTGTAGTCCGAATTTCCTCAGGCTCCTAGCGAGCTGTGCAGACCGGGACAGCATAGACCCTTTCGACTCTTTCTCGCCTGTGGCTACATCAATCTGGTAAAACAGAGACAGAAAATTACATTTAATGCAGAATGCAAGTTTTACTGCTGGGTAATAATCAAAGTGGGCATCTGGCTTAAGTTAATCCCTCACTTAGTCGATAATGGATTATTGAAATAGAATAATATTGGCATTGATATTTGTTTCTCCTAAAGATGAAACGGTTTTACTCCCACATTTTTTTTGTCATTAAAACTTGATTTAAAAAAATGCAAATCATCATAATTACTCAATATAAACAAATAGGTGCTTTCAAATTCTAACCACGGAGATGATATGAGCAAGGCCAAGTTTAATGACTTCAAACCAGTTCGTGACCCAAATAAAAATGTATTACTCCCACATGAAGGGTTCGAGGCCTTCGCAAAGGTTTAGCGATTGTTAAGATGTTGCAAAAACTCTTGAAAGAATAGAAATGCACTCTCTGTAAAAACTTCAACTGACCCTTTAGGATGAGCGGGCCAGTTGAAATTTTCACAGGACAGGACAGGACCTTAAAAAATACTTAGCTAAAAAACTCAGACAGTTTTAAATAGGTTTACTTTTTTTTACCTAATATTTGCAAATGTAACTTTGAGGTGAACAGGAAATTAAAATAAATACTTATTTTATATATTTTTTAGAAATGAAATATTGTTTTAAATAGATTAATAATCACATATTTTTGACGCCTTAAACAAGAATATTTAACAGCCGAAACCAATATCTATTTGCTTCTGTTAAAAAAATACTTTATAAAATAACAACCAATTCAAAAAGGTAAATTAAAAAATCAAAAAACTCGACTGCTTAAATTTCCAGAGAAAACAAGTCATAAAAACAAGTCCAGTAGTGTATTATTCTGATAAGCAAGAAACAAAGTTTTAACTTCTCTATCAGCCGCTTCTACAACTACTTTAACAGCCGGGACCCATTTGATATTCAAGAATATATATTTTTTTTCATTAATTAATTGAAATAATTTCTTTCTTTAAATAATTATTTTCATTTTTGTTTTTTTAATTTACCTTTTTTATTTCACACAGATCAGAAGACGGATATACCGAAGTTTTGTCACTTCAGTAAGTTAAGTAGTATCGCGGGGACAAGTACCTTGCAGTGGTCCAAGCTATAGAGACCTTACCACCAGGGTCAAGGTCAATACATATGAGCCTCAATTTTCGCAAAATGTGTTCAAGTCGTTACTTAAATATCTAATACATATAAATTATATACCTACTTAATTAGTACTTATTTTCCGTACTTATTCAAAGTCATATTTTGCTTATGTTCTTATAAGTAGGAAGTTTAGGAGTAAATATAACATTAATTTACTTATATTTGTCGACTATCTAAAAATTGGCAGTGGCTGCATTGTCAACGTTCGGCTCTAAAGACATTGTGGGTTACCTACAATGCGAAGAGATGGCCTGCCGCTGCGCTGCCTTAAGAGGAATTTCGACGCGGCCGCTAGGGCCGCGGTAGTTTAATTATTGGTCAGTGCATTCGCCCGGATAGCGAAGGGTGCGGGTTCGAGTCCCGTCTGCTGCCTGGTCCGCGTGGATATTTTTCTAGTTATATTTTCATTAGATTTAAACATCAAGCAGTTACATGCTTAAAAAATAAAATCAACGCGTTCTAGCCTTAAAATCACAATGTTAGGAGGGTACCTATTTATTTATGATTTAATCACATCAATAAAATGTAGACATGCAAACATATTAAAATGGATATATATATCTACTTACTTGACAAATAGACTCTGGATTCGTTTTCAAGGCCTGAAATAATAGGTGTCCCAAATGTCTATCATTTCTTATAGTAAAATCTATTATCTCAGTGGCCATTTTATTCACAATCACACTTATTTACTTTAACTATTTGAACAACATAGAACTGTGTTCTTACGCGAGTAGACCGCGCTACATTGGTTGCCGGTTGCCGTCTGCGCTTAAACTACTGGTTATGGTTACCAATAGATGTTTTCGTAACAACTAATTTGTACCTTGCTAGAGTACTTCCTTTTATAGTTTATGTTGCTGTCGTATATTTGATTTAGACATGTGTACAAGTGCCGGGTATAGCAATATTCCCGGCAACTTGAAACAATATAAACATGCATCCTTAATAAATATATATTTTGTGAAAGGCACTGGCACACATATTTAAATGATCATCAAAAAATGTAACTGACCTTCACCTAATGTATTTTTAAGATGATAAATTCTTTTGAGGAAGATTTAAATATTTCCCACTGCGCAATGCATAAATGAGGAGCTTTATATCTCCCATTGTCTGTCTGATACTCATAAATTAAAGATTTAACTCCATTTGAAAACAGCATTTACTGAGTTTCTTGCCGGTTCTTCCCAACACAAGGGCTCTGGGCCCCCGGTCTCTAGTTTCACGAAACGATGACACACATAGTTTATTCGACTTTCACAAGTGCTCATTACTGCGTTTCTTTAATTTGAATATTGTTGATATTAAAGATTTCTGTTTATTTTTGCCTTGACAAAGTTAAATTTTCCTGCCCTTTACCAATCTTGTATTTGCTACTGCTGTCTATCACGTTTTCCTTTACCGCTGTTTTAAAACAAAGACAACATCATTACCTTCACGTTTGTCTTTATTCAAAAGCTTTTACCACAGTTAAGACTGTGCCATTACTATCTGCACAGAAAAGTGAGCAGTTGACACATTGTTTATTTTACTTTCGATCTTTACAAGATCGGAAGAGACGACATTGATTTTTAGGTTTCTAATAATAATTATTGCCATATATATACATAAGTATTTTATGGAAGTACATAATCATGTCATGTCATTTTAATTTTCAAGGCACTGCTTTTTTTAAACCTACATCCGAATCAAGTACAGAGTCCAAAGTACGTGGAGCAAAATTTAACTTGTACAGGTAACTTAACCAAAGATTTTACTGATCATGATGACATGGCAGTTTTGCTATTAAAAACTGCTAAGTCATAATTGCACCAATATAGCCTACGCAGACTAGGGAGTTTTGTCCACGGAGGACAAAAGTTCTTTTAATGATTGCCGAGGACATGTTACGGATTCAACCCATACGATGTGCGTTTATTTTTACATTAAAGAGGCTTACGCTTGACGGCCACGCGACTTATGAAGAGCGACGTAGCAGCCTCAGGTGGGACGCGCTTGCCTAGAAGAAACCGATTCACTCGCGACTCGACTTCATCTTCCGGAGATTCCGGCAAAGAGTTCCACAACCTAGCTGTTCTGACGATATAGGTGGAAGCAAATCGTTTAGTACGAGTTTGCGAGACCTCTACGGTATATCTGTGGCGTTTTGCCGTCTCTCTGTTTTGTTTCTGTGGTAAAAAAGTGAAGGTGAAATTAAGTTATGTAACTCCGAAGCACACTCTCCGAAATGTAACCGGTAAAAAACGGATAAAGAGGCAACTTTTCGCCTGTGTTCAAGACTTTGGAGTCTAGTCTCGAATAATTTGTCGTTACCGATGAGCTTCTATGCACGCCTCTCAATATACTCCAGTGAAACTTGAAGTTTATTCTAAACTTACAACACATTGTGTTGTGTTGTAAGTTTAAGAAAATGGTAAAACTTTGTATAGGGTATACTGTGTCGTTTTTTTTTCAGGGAATATGCTGTTGCTGTGCTGCACCTTGTTACATGAGTTCTATTTTTCTCGCGTACTTTTGTCCTGTCCGGTCTCTCGGTAACGTCGGTTGTACGGGGGACTTTTTGTACGCGGTTCTTCTGTGTGCTATTTCGTTTCGTTGTTTTATTTCGGCGGACAAAAGTCCCTCGTCTGCGCAGGCTTTTAAGCAACACGAAAGGGAGTAGCCATAGCGACATAATCCTTTTGAAACATTTCTGGGGGAATATGGACACAAGTGCAGTATACAAAAATTTCAACTGTCTAGCAACTGTCACGGTTCATGAGATACAGCAGCCTTGTGACAGACAGGCGAACAGTGGAGTCTTAGTAAAAGGGGCCCCTTTTTACCTTTGGGTACGGAACCTAAAAAGGATTTTCTCGTGTACCAGCTAAGAAAAACTCTGGGCCTATTGGGCATTGTTTGGGTCGAACTCGTCCGAAAATACAGGTTTTGCCAACCCAAAACTAACAACAGTCGAGCGATAGACAAGCTTTTACTATCAGCACAGGATATTAAGCAGGCGGCGCATTTCATCCGTTCCAGCCTTAGATTAAAACAAAAATTTAATCTACACACCATACTATTGCCATACGTTTTTTCCAGCTTTACACAAAAATACGAAATGCCGATTTTTCAACGAAATTCGTAAATGTATTTAATTAAATGACTATTAAGGGATACAGTAGTTATCTACTATATAAAAATAAGTCGGGTTTTCCTTCCTGACGCTATAACTCCAGAACGCACGAACCGATTTCCACGGTTTTGCATTCGTTGGAAAGGTCTCGGGCTCCGTGAGGTTTATAGCAAAGAAAATTCAGGAAAAATTTAAAAAAAAAAATCTTTTTTAATCACCAAACGAAATGTTACATAAAACGAAGCCATCTGGTGGCGAAACGGAGTTCGCGGGGTTTGCTAGTGGGATATAAATAAAAAAAAATCCAACACCCACCAATTAGCCTAGCCCCAAAGAAAGCACTGGACCTGTTATGGGATACTAAGGTAACGGATAGAATACATATATTGTACATATATAAGTATATTTATATAGAAATACATATTAAACATCCATGACTGGAGTACAAATGTTCGTATTCATCACACAAACATCTGCCCCCACCGGGATCTCTCGAGTCGGCGGCGTCACCATGAAACAGGACGTTTAAACAGCTCGGCCACGGAGGTCGTCAAATATATATCTAAGTGACCTGGAGATGTTAAAATGAGCTGGTTCTTCTCAGTACAAAGTTTCGAGGATTTGCGTACCGATCGTACCTTTTTCAAGTTTCATACGTGCTTGTAACTTGTATTGTAATAGCTTATAGCCTATACACACAAAGGAGTTTTGTTCGCGGTATTTTTGTTCGCCAATAGTTTGCATACAACTTCATCGAGTAACACACAGGAGATATTTAAAATCCCGCGTACAAAAAGTCCCTGTAATCAGTTTAATAGTCTGTGCAGTTTTAAAAATCTTCCAATGAAATATCCGAACGCTCAATAAAAGTCTTTCGAAGGTAGCTCGACAAAGTAAAAAAAACATTATTTTGATAACGCATTCCTGAAAACGAAGCGAAACGTCAATAAATAAATAAATTCAGTACATCTAACCCGTAAAAACTACTTTAACTTTCTGTGTTCTGTGGAGTACATGGTTGTATGTGTAATCATCAAAATCGGGCTACGCGTTTGGTTGCTTGCGTGCGTAGTCGGGTAAAAAGGGTTTTGATGATATTATAGTTTTTGATAAATAATTCTTGAATACTTTCAGTCTAATTATTTTATACAATGTGAAATCCGTCTCTTACCATTTCACGCTGATACCGTTGAACCGATTTAGATGAACATTTGGTATATGAATAGTTTTAATCACGGAAAAGGAAATAAAATAGACCTATAAGGTCAGTCGCAGTTATTATTAAGTGCCTATTAATCTTCTTGTCGTGCAGCCGACGAAGAGGCAAGCAGTAAAATAAAATTTAAATTGAACTAAATGAGTAAAATTTTGACAAATGGTTATGTTTTTTAGGATTCAACTATAGTCATATTGAATCGGGTATCGATGAAATCACGAGGCCTAAAAAATGATTTGCACGAGGTACTTGAAACCCACCTCGTTCCCGAGGTGTTAACCCACATCAATCTCGCTGACGCTACGACAACGCTGTGATGTTTTTTTTGCCCGTTTTTCTTCAAAAATTCCTTTAACTGTGGATAGCAGGAAAAAAATATGGACGATTCATTAGAGTTGTATTATGCTTCCTATTTGAATAAAGATATTTTGAATATGAAATTGGTTCCCGGACCGCGGTCCTCATAGTGCGGGCCGGGTGACCGGTGCAGGAGTATTGTCTGGTTCTTCAACATCATCATCATCAGCCTATTAATGTCCCCACTGCTGGGGCACAGGCCTTCCCTATGGATGGAATAGGGAGATTGGGCCATAACCCACCACGCAGGCCCAGTGCGGATTGATGGGTGCTAACGACTGCAGATGCAGCCGGGACAAACGGCTTAACGTGCCTTCCGAAGCACGGAGGAGCTCGAGATACTAAATTTTTGGTCACCCATCCAATGCCATCGAGCTCCTCATCTGTCTGGTTCTTACCGTTAAGGTAATCTCATTCTTACAACCTGGGATCCTTTAGAAGAGCCGCGTAGAAGCAACATGCAGGCCGACAAGGTGTGGACAGTGGCGGATCCAGGATTTTGGTTTGGGAGGGGCTTGACGTAGTTGAAGGTAGGCTTTAATAAAGCCTACCTTCAACTACGTCAAGATAAACACAAAAAAGCATTCAAAATTTTATTTTTTTTGTCATTTAATGCATAGTGAGTCTCCTCGAGTGTCTTTTTGAATATTCTTCAATGACTTCGACTGGTTGTAGGCTGCGGGATATGTCTCGGTGAATATACATTGCAGCCAAACCATTCAACCTCTCTTCAGTCATTGTCGTGCGAAGGTACGATTTTATTAGTTTGAGCGAAGAGAAGCTGCGCTCCACACTACAAGTGGATACTGGTAATGTAGCAAGTATTTGCAATAAAATTTTAACATTTGGGAAAAACTCATTTGCCTCTTGATGGGCCTCTGCTGCTGTTTGGGGAAGATGTTCCCTGTCTTTCCAAAGCTCTTTCCAAAGAGTTATTTCTCCTGATAACGAGAGAGGATGAGGTAAGTCGCTGCTGTAAACACGCGCAGCTGCCTCTATGGAGTTCAGATTTTCTATTTTTACGATGGCACTTGGTATAAGGGTGAACAGGTCGAGAATTGAAGAGTGCTCTGCTCTCGAAAAGCGACTCCTAAGCTGTCCCAATACAAAATCGATGAAAGGAAGGAATACATTCAATCTGAAACAAGATTTGATATGAAATTATTCTTTAACTCGAAAGAACATAACAGAAAATAAAGAAACGCTGCATTAAGCAAAATGCGGGGGTATATATTATATGCTTTATTAAGATTTATTTTACCTGTAGTATTCCTTAGCATCAGGCGCTTCTATATTTGAGCGATGAGTTGAACGTTTGGTGGTTCTGGGTGCCTGCACTGGGATGTCCAAAGGCTCTACAATACGACACGCCTCTTGGAAAATTTCTTCATATTTAGTTTCTCTGTACCTTTCCAATATTCTAATTACACTGTCTACCATCTCATAGCAAAGGTTAAGGTCTAATGCAACAGCCTGAAGTTGCCGTGAAAGCGAAACAGTAATTTCAAATACAGCGGCGGTTACCGCCAAAGGTAAAACAAAGTCAAATCGTTGAATGGAAGCCAGAAGACTTGCACTTTTTGAAGACGGAGAAATTCTGTCAAATTCTTCAAGGAATTGTATGATAGAGTCAAAGAGTTCTTTGAATTGAAGGAGTGCATCATGCCTTTCAAGCCAGCGTGTATCACTTAGATTTTGTAATTTAACTCTTTTCGCCTCAGGGTGTTTTTCAAGGATGGCTTGTTTGATAAGTCCCAATCTTTTTGATGATTCACGCACAAAAACGGTAACACTACTTACAACTCCCATCATATTGCGAACACTAGGTAAGCTGCAGGCCTTTACGATAGCTAGGTTCAGTTTATGTGCTGCACAGTGCATATAAGTCGCTAGCGGTTGAAGCTGTTTTATTTGGGATTGTACGCCACTATACTTTCCTGACATGTTAGCTCCTCCGTCATAACCTTGACCTCTCAAATTCTCAATTTGTAAGCCAACTTGATTTAATTCTTGAATGATTTGATTGCTTAATGCAGCACCAGTCAAGTCAGTTGCAGATAGAAAGCATATGAACTCTTCGTGTATTGTGCTCTCTTTTATATCCAAATACCTGATACATATACTGAGTTGTTCTGTTCCACTGGCATCGGTTGTTTCGTCGCCAAGAACGGCATAATATTTTGCTTCTTTGACTTTGTCAAGTACCTTTTTCAGTATAACAGAATGGCAACAATCAATCAGCTGATTCTGAGTTGTTTTGCTTAGATATGTAGCATTTTTTGGCGCTGTTTCTAAATGTTTTTGGAGTGATGAATCACCTGAGTCAATACGAAATTTTAACAGTGCTCGAAATTTTCCTTGGCCGATATCATCACTCAATGTACCATCATCTCGGTGGCCTCTTAAGGGTATATTTTCTCGACCACACAGTATAATCGTCTTAACTATAGGAATCAGCCGCTCTCTATTTGATTTAATCATTTTAAGTTTCTCAGTTTCGATTAAATTATTTACAGCTTTTTCAGGGTTTTCATATGAACTTTTAAAATTTGTACTTTTTAACACCGCCATTTTGTGGTAATCGGTAGCGGAATGGTTTTTGAAAATTTCTAATGCTTTTTTATATTTGCAAAGTGGACGAGTCACTAAAGATCCTAAAGCCACAGAATGCTTGCCCCCACTATCTGGACCAGAAAATAGTACGCAAGGCAAACAATATGCGCCGTTCTGTTCTTGACTATAGACTAGCCAGGAGTATTCCTTTAGCCAATCAGATCTGAACTTTCTTTTTTGTCCACCCTCTGTCTGCTCTGGATATTCATAACTACGAGGTGGTTCTAAAGACTCCGTCAGATATTTATACTTTTTCTCGTTACTTAGTGATTTTCCTATTGCATAAGAAATATCAAAACGATATTCAGCGCAAGCAGTGGATGTACTAGCCTCTGGCACTGGTTCCGGCTCTGTAACAACAATGCAGTGTACAGTCAAAGAAAGAGTCCACTACACCACCCGCCACCCGCCCAACACCAACCGACCAAAAGATTCTTTTTTAAAATACAAATAGTAATACTGACTGTAAACCTACAAAAATTTTGTGCCGAAATTAGGCTCATTTTATTCCTACTTTTGTAGAACTACCGATTTATAGTATTGCAGATGTATAGTGCGCTTTATTGTCATAGTTATTTAATTTATGTTCGTCTGTTATCTGTCACTGTACCTAATGAAATAAAAGAAAAGAAAATAAGAATAAAATAATCCAAAGGATGTTGTAGTTATTGTAGTAGGTACTTACCTGATGAATTTTGGGTCGACAATATTAAGTTGCTGACGTTGTGTCTCGGTAATATTGGTTCATTATCGCGCGATTCGTCCTCCTCTTTCTTTCGTTTCGGAATAAAAAACGAACGAAGATCTCCTTGCTTACTACGTTTTGATGTCATTTTTTTTCAAAATTGAACAAAAGCAAAGCACGCCCAGACCCAAATAACAACTTAAAACACTTGAATAAGCAGAAGCACTGCGTAACACACCCGTCTATTGTTTTTGTGCAACTAATCAATCAAAATCAAATCAAAGCTCGCTCCGCCCGCAATGCTACCAACACACACCCACGTACCGGCCGGCCGTACGCTGCGTACGGCCGGCCGTGGGTGTAGAGATGTGTGCGTACGGTATATCTCTATCTCAAGCACAAGTACCAGCGCAGCTCGCGACAAGCGCGTCCGCGCTCGATTGGCGCGCGAATTTAAAACTCGTCACGTCACAGTTTAAAGTACCGTACAGTTGACCCAATAGATTAGATTTTTCATGATGGGAATCGTGATATATAGATTCTTCCCCACTGTAATAGTATAACAGTATATTATTTATTCTCTGTTAAGAGTCTAAGAAAGTAAGTAGGATAATAAAGTGTGAGATTTGTCAGGGGCGGACCCAAATGCCTTTGGGGGGGGCTTGAGCCCCTTAGCCCCCCCCCCTGGATCCGCTACTGGGTGTGGATGGCTGGTGTGGCAGGTAGAACTACTTACTGTACCAGCTATCTTCACGTCTGGACTTCACCGTCACTTAACATCAGGTGGGGTGGAGTCATCCGCCGGACCTATCTATAAAAAAAAGGTAGGGCTCTGCTCATTTCATTTCTTCGAGTCACAAAAGCTGGCTAAAATGATCAAAGAATAAAAGTAATCTTAACGGAGGAAATGAGTGGGAAGGAGTCCCGGACAACTCCGCATTACTTCTCGTGGTGGGCGGAGAATGCGTGAAGCATTTTCCAGACATAAAAAAGTACTTGTAAATTGAAATTATTAAAATTAAATATTTAATTTAGCAAGCGGGAACGCAGTCGTGGCCGAATAATTATATTTTACATTCGGTTATTTAATACGCTAACTCGATTTGTTATTTCAAACAAAATCTAGCGGCGCTTTAAGTGGTCATGGACTTTTCATCCGTACAATCGGAAAGCGTCATCTGTATGGTGTAAATAATTTTAATGCTTAAAATATTAGATTTTTAGCTTTTCAGAGTTTTTGCTAGTTCTTTTTGGTAGGGCCGTAGCTCCCGCTGGGAGGTGGGCGGAGGTGTTATGGGGCAAAGCCCTACCTTAAAAAATAAGATCATCATAGACTTATATGATCAACAAAAGGTGGAGCGGGTTGCAAATTTAGCTTATGCTTTATGATCTTTAGGGCGGTAAAATGTAAATGTCCCGCTATCGTACCTGAGGTTAAACTAAATGGACATAATCTAAAACGGGTTTACCAGTTTAAATATCTTGGATATTGTATTGACGACCGCCCATGGGATTTAGCTGATATTGAGAGGGAACGGAGGGCGCTGGCGGTGCGAAGTAATATGTTGGCACGTAGGTTTGCTCGTTGTAGTCATCAAGTAAAGACAACATTATTTAAAGCTTATTGTCAAGTTTTCTATACGTGCAGCTTAGGGACCGACTATACGCAGCGGGCCATCAGCGATCTACGGGTCCAGTATAACAATGGGTTCAGAGTATTGTTCGGACTAGCTCGTTATTGTAGTGCGTCGAACATGTTCGCCAGGCACGTACCGACGATTTTTAGGCCATTTTAAGAAAAAGAGCAGCCTCAACGCTATACAGAGTGCGGGTTAGTACGAACTCCATTCTAAAGACCATAGGTACAAAATATGATTCACCCATTATAAAGAAATGGGTGCAACTCTGTATCACAGGCAGGCAGATTGTGGCCAAATAGTAATTTTTATGTTTTGAGTGTGATTTAATTTTAAATATTTACTAACATAGTATATAAGTGAAATTGTTACTAACGCTTTATGGACCACATAGTTGTTCAAGTAAATAAATAAATTATTATTATTATATTGTTATTATTTACTAAACTAAGTCAAGAAGGCAGAATATTATGACATTAGAACTTTATTATAAACTTAATAAACCCTCCATTACTATAATCAAAACATAATAGAATACATCACGTTTTAACAGATATTTTTTATTAAGAACCTAGATTAAACTAAATCTTGTTGTACTATTAAAAAGTCTTCCTTTTTTCCAGATCCTATTTTGCAATCTTGTGATATTTTTAGGCCCTCCATTCTGTAAACAAAACATATTGGTTAAGTCTCAAAGTAGAAATTCTATAGCAGACATAGTGATAAGGCAAAGCACATTACAATTTTGGACTTGGAACTGGGGTGCTCGTTTGTCTTATTTTTATGCTAAAAGCAACGATATTAAATAGCCTAGATACACCACGAGCGCTCAAAATGTCTCAATCAAGAAGTGCTTGAACTCCACTCAAGCACTTCTTTGTTCAGTCACGCGCGGACCGTAACAAAATCAAGATGCCACAGAGCTCCGCTCCAGCACTTTCACATGTGCTTGTAAAAGCCTAAATTGAATTAATGATTTTTGAATTGAATTGGATATATTTATTTATTGATACTTACTGCGTGTAATCCTTCGTGTTGTCGTCCACTTCGCATCGTATACATTGTTCGGTGCATTTCTTTATTGTGCTTCCGCTTATAGACACCTGTGAGCCGGAGTACATCTGTATGCCGACGCCGCAGTTCTTTAATACACAGTTGCGTAGTTCCACCTAAGTTAATGGATACAATATAATTACTTTAACTTACTTACGGACGCACTCAGAGAAATCGAGCAAAGGTCTTTAACTACTACACCGTACCGTACCATGACTGTAACCGACAAATACAATAAACTGCGGTTTCACCCGCGTTAATTTGAAGAAAAAGGTTTATAGTGAGTCCAACTTAAAATATGTACATAGGCTGTCGTGGACATTTTTACAGAACTTCTATAGGGGAAGATATCCGTCAAACATAATTTTTGTGTAACTTTAACCGTTTACCCAGAGCGCGAGCAACGGAATCTCACAATTGGATATTTTTACCCATTTTTGCAACATTTTTCATCGATGTTCTGCTGTCTAGTCGTAGCGTGGTAATATATAGCCTATACGCAGTGGTTCTCAAACTTTTTAAATGACGGAACCCTTTTGGGAAGCAAAATACTTGATGGAACCCTACAATAAAACAATTATTTTTATAAGTGTATTCTATATTAATCAGCATAATAAAAGTACAATGTATCCGTTACTAATTATTATTTACTTCACCACTTGGTAAGGACAATAATAGAAAACATTAAAAAAGAAAAAATCTAACTAGTGGGAGGTATGAAACTGTTTTTTATTTTTCATCAATTGCTTGATATCAGGTTTGATGGAAGAAAGTTGGAGTCTCATATCAGCTTCGGCGTCCAGTCTATTGCGATATTTTGTTTTCGTGGCTGCGTAGGTAGAGAATCCTGTTTCGCACAAATATGTAGTTGGGAACGGGAGAAGAATATCCAGAGCCATTTGGCCAAGCATTGCATATTCATCTTGGATTCTGCACCAAAAATCATTAAGAGGCGTCGTTTTGAACAATGACTCCATACTTGTGTCTGATGACATTTCTAAAAGAGATTCATATATCTCATTTGACATGTTTTCAGGCTTTTCCAAGTTGGGTAAAAAAGGATTATGAATCCAGGAGTTCACTTTAATTTTTGTATTGTGTTCTTCGGGAAAATACTTTTCAAAAGATGCGCGCATCGAACTGAGATATTGGACCAATTCTTCAAACACATTATCTTCAAACATTTCTGAGTCGTTTTCGCTAACAAACTCAGTGAGTAACGTAAAACTTTCTATTTCTTTCTTACCAATGCAAATGATCCAAAAATCTAATTTTCTTTTAAAAGTAGTTATTTTATTATAGGCCTGAAACACTGTTGTCTGTTTACCTTGCAATGATAAATTTAATTCGTTAAGTTTTTGAAAGATATCCGCCATAAAAGACAATCGGAACAACCAAGTTTTATCATACAAACGGTCCTTCAAATTAAAAGAAGTATCTGCTGAAAGAAACATTTGTAACTCGGCTCTAAGTTCAAATAGCCTTGTTAAAGTTTTTCCCCGAGACAGCCATCGCACTTCTGTATGGAGCAGCAGTGTTTTATGTTTGCTGCCATAATCTTCACACAATAATGAGAACAATCGGGATTGTAGTGGTCGTGATTTGATAAAATTAATTATTTTTACCGCTTCATCCATAACTAATTTTAGATTAGACGGCATTTGCTTCATCGCAAGTGCTTGTCTATGCAGAATACAATGACTGGAACTACAATTAGGCGCTTTATTTTTCATTCGTGACACTGCTCCTGCTGTTTTACCTGTCATCGCCTTGGCCCCATCTGTACAAATGTCAATGCAATTGTTCCAACTGAGATTATGTTCTTCAAAAAATATATTTATTTTATTAAAAATTTCTTCCCCGGTAGTGTTTGTAAGCAGCGATGAACACATAAGCATGTCTTCTTCAAAAGAACTTTTATATGGATATCTCACAATAACCAGCAGGATAGCCAAACCAGCGACATCAGTCGACTCGTCCATTTGCAAAGCGAATCGTGTATTTTGTAGACGTGTAACTAGTTCTTGTTTGACGTAGCTTGCCAGATCATGGATTCGTCGTGAAACAGTATCGTTTGATAGCGGAACAGTAGAAAGATGCTTTGCAGATTTTTCATCAAGCATACATTTTGTTATGTCTAATACACATGGTTTTATTAATTTCTCAGCGATAGTGTGCGCTTCACCTGCTTGTGCAATGCGATAGCTAACTAAGTATGATGCCTCCGTGGCCTTTTCGTTGGTAGTTTGTGTTACATGCATCATATTTTTTTGACTTTCTAATAACTGATCTTTTTTGCGAACAAAAAATTCTTTATTCTTGTCTTTAGTCTCGGGGTGTACGGTTTCTAAATGTCGACGCAATTTGGCAGGTGCCATGGAACTATTAGGAAGCAGTTTACTACAGAGCATGCAGAGAGGTGAGCCGTTGGAATCAACAAATCCGAAACTGATATAAGATTCATCATACTTCCTTTTTTTCGTCTTTGAAACCGTCGAGCTTGACGTCGTGGCACTCGTGGCATCATCTTCTGGATCGGTGATTGCTAAATTCTCCGCGCGCATTGCTTTTGAACATTCAGCGTCATTAGAAGATGTTGTTGGAACACGTTTAACACCTTTAAGCCAACGTTCCATTCTTCTTTATTTATAATGTTACAAGTCAGGATAGTGGGGTTTAAATAATGCACAATCGTTACTGCGTATAAGAGACTAAATTTAGAACCTACAGGGAAGAAATGTATAAAACTGAGACAACAGAATACAGCAGGCAGTAAAACAATGAACACCAGTTTCTCGCTAGCGAGCTTGTAAGTAGGTAGTAACTTATCGCTCCGAACGCTAATCATCAACTGACGACGCCAACGCGCGATCGCCGCTTTTATACTTAGTCCTAGACTCGATCTCAAATATTCTCGAAAATACTCGAGTCGGCACCTTTGATAAACAAAAAGCAAAAATAAAAACAGAAATTTAAAAATAGCGTTGTAAACAATATCGACTTTATCCTTTGAAGTTAGAGACGAAAGTCGCTAGTTGACAACTATAGCGTCTAATTCAGAGGCGGCTTTTATCAAAGAGACTGAGCGCTTACAAGTATACTACCCGCTCGTTTTAAGTTTGCCGCTGGCGATAGGTATGAGTGTATGACGTTCGAAATTTTTTATTTAATTGTAACAATAAAAATTGTGTACGTTAGATATTTGGGTAAAACTATGACACATTATAAGTTTTGTTGTCACGTGGGGGAGGGTACGCGCATTCCACAGACCGGCAAACTTAGAGCGAACGCGTTGTACAAGTATAAAATTGTTGAGACCAAACTTATGAGATATTGTACCAGCTAATGTAACACAAGCTTATACAAATACAAATAAATAAATAAATAACATTCATAGCGTTTTGTCTCCGCGCGGCCGCGGAGTCCGCACAGCCGCGGAGCGACCAGAGAGAGGTGTTTTGATTTTTTTATTTCTAAATTCTTGCGGAACCCCGACAGAGGTATCACGGAACCCTAGGGTTCCGCGGAACACACTTAGAGTATAGCTGGCCTATAGCCTTCCTCGATAAATGCACTGTCCAATACAAAAAGAATTTTTCAAATCGTAACAGCAGAACAATTTTGCATTCGGTACAACGGGTCCTAAACTACGCAACGAATTTTTTACTTGGAATGGAAGGTTTATAATTATTATGAAGGAAGTCATTGTATATAATACAAGCCTTTGAACAAAAACTATAGTCTACACTAAAGCTCTACACCGAAGCAAAGCGAGGGCGGGCCACTAGTAAATAAATAAATCAGTGAATCTATACCGTTGGAACTTGGATTTATTAACCGATGGTCTGTGTAGCCCAAAACTTTGTTGTATATTAAACATCATTACTAAATATGATAAAAAGCAAAATATGAAAATAATTTTCTCAACTCGCGGCAGAAATCATCTACATACACCGACGAGGGGTTACTGAGTGGTGTGTGTGAAAACCTAAGAAACAAATAAGCTTTCAATAAGTCAATTTGAGTAAATTTTCATTTCATTTCACTAGACCGCTCCATATCCGTATCTGTATGCCCGTTCTACGATAAATGACTCGGTCCTTAGCTTGGTATGGTATAGTGGGGTAGGAGACCTTTGCTTTTAAAGCACTTTTGCGCTTTGCTGCGCAGACGCAGACCTTGGCCCGCGAACTTTTATGACTGCTAAAATAGATTGCTTACAACTGCATTGAGCAACGCACACGACGGACTAAAAGTCATCATCCATCATCAGCCTATTATTATCCCCACTGCTGGGACACAGGCCTTCCCAATGGATGGAATAGGGAGATTGGGCCATGACCCACCACGCGGGCCCAATGCGTATTGGTGGGTGCTAACGACTGCAGATGCAGCGGGGACCAATGGTTTAACGTGCATTCTTAAGCACGGCGGAGCTCGAGATAATAAGGTTTGGTCACCCATCCAATGACCGACCATTGCGAAAGTTGCTTAAATTTCACGATCGCAAGCCGAACGCGCTAGCCACCTGCGCCATCGAGTTCATTTTTATTTAGTTATCTCTACTTTATTGCAAAAAAACAAACAGCAAATGGTGGACTTAGTGCCATAAGGCATTATCTACCAGTCGAAGAGTATGAGTTGAGAAAATTTAATATCTATGATTTTATTTATTTTTTAAGCATTTAACTGCTAGATGTTTAAATCTAAAGAAAGGTTTACTAGAAAAAAAAATCCACGCGGACCAGGCAGCGGACGGGACTCGAACCCGCATCCTTCGCTATCCGGGCGAATGCACTGACCATTATGCTACCACGGCCCTATTAGCCGCGTCGAAATTTTCCTAGCCTTAAACTGCAAGGCGAATAATTGCTATTTCTTCTTTATGTTTAATACTTGAAAAAGTATTCATTTGACATTGTGGGTTACCTACAATGCGAAGAGATGGCGCTGCCTTGCAGCTTAAGGCTAGGAAAATTTCGACGCGGCTAATAGGGCCGTGGTAGCATAATGGTCAGTGCATTCGCCCGGATAGCGAAGGATGCGGGTTCGAGTCCCGTCCGCTGCCTGGTCCGCGTGGTTTTTTTTTTCTAGTAAACCTTTCTTTAGATTTAAACATCTAGCAGTTAAATGCTTAAAAAATAAATAAAATCATAACTATAATTGCTATTTCTTCTTTCAAATGTTTAATACTTGAAGGTGCTGCCTTGCAGCTTAAGGCTAGGAAAATTTCGACGCGGCTAATAGGGCCGTGGTAGCATAATGGTCAGTGCATTCGCCCGGATAGCGAAGGATGCGGGTTTAAGTCCCGTCCGCTGCCTGGTCCGCGTGGATTTTTTTCTAGTAAACCTTTCTTTAAATTTAATATCATTTATAGCCTGCGCAGATGAGGGACTTTTGACCGCGGAACTTTTAAGTCCGCCAAAATAGATCACTTATAACTGCAGGACAGATTAATAACATTACAGATTTTTTTTACTTTGTGCTAAGTATATTTTGAGATAAATAAATAAAACAAAAGAGTGTTTATGAAAATAAAGGTTTACTGTTCTCACCTGTGCCCCTTTATGAACTACGATGCCTGAATAGAAATTGTCAAAAGTGCAATTTTCTATAAGAATTTTTGCCCCCTCCCTAGCAACCACGCCCTGAGCGAAGTCACTCTGAAAGATAAAAATAATATTTAATTTATTAAATCTACGCTACATTATAATATTATACATTAGAATGTTACGTTTTGGAGCTGAAATTACTCAACCGATTTTCATACATTTTGATGTGAAGATAAAGGGACCACGGTGTCGGTAATGAACATCTATAGGTTACTTTTTATTAAAATATATTTTACGCACACATAGTTGCGGAAAACTACTAGTGTTATCAAAAAATTTAAAGTTCGATATTTGTTCTACTAGCATTATAAAAATAAAGAGTTTGCTTATGACCACACAACAGAATTGAAACTTCTTTAGCTCCATCTTATTTCTCTTTCTGTAAGAGGGACACTTCCACTTGTAGTAGAGTGAGGGAGATACCCCTACTCTATTCTTATACCTCTATCTTTCCAAAAATTGAATTGTGCACGTTTCAGTGTTTGAATGGAGTGACAGTGTCGTTTTGTCAAGATATGTTTTAAACACAGGATACCATAACACAAACTGCCTTGTAAAAGCACAATTGTTTTTTTAGTTTCACAGTACTTCATAATAAACTTTAAGGCTAATAAAGGCTTGTCGCTGTTGGCTCTTACTTTATTGGAACGAAGGTCCATCATGTTGCGTCTCTTTCTACCTCGTGGGATTGTCGTAATGGCATGATATCACTTTTACTCACTCTGTCAGCCTTTAAATACTAACTCAATAGTGGTACGACTATAATTACGTAGATTACTGAAAACTATCATAAGAATTTATTTGACGACCTCCGTGGCCGAGTGGTTTGTACGCTGGGTTTCATGGTGTCGCCGACTCGAGAGGTCCCGGGTTCGAATCCCGGTTTGTGTGATGAACACGAGCATTTGTACTCCAGTCATGAACGTTTAATATGTATATTTATATAAATATACTTATATGTGTACTTTATATGTATTCTATCCGTTACCCTGCACAAGCCTATGTGCTAACTATGGGGCTAGGCTAATTGGTGTGTTGTAAATATTTATTTGTTATGGAAATACGTATAAAAGTCATACCTGCGAGCTGCTGGAATCGTCTAACAGTGTACAGTGATCTATATGTAGTCGTCCGGATCGCATCACTATTACAGTGTTTACTAAAGCGCAGTGTAGTGTGAGTTCTTTCAGTTTACAGTCTTCACTCAGCATCAGGAGGCAGGATCGCATATCTGGCGCTTTCAAAGTTGCACCTGTAAAAGATTAACGAGGAGATAATTTGAAATACTAAACGAAATTATCGTAATAGTTTCTTAAAATTTAATTTATTCAAACTATAATATTAAAAGGGAAAAAAACCCAGAAATCATTTTTGAAGGGGGTGAAAAATGGGGTGGAAGCTTGTATGAGCAATCACTAGCAGACGTAGTTGCGGGTACCTGCTAGTAGTATATAATTAATAATATAGATACTTTTGCTGTACGTAGATTGTTAATTTTCATAAATAAATATTAATCAATTATTTAAACAGAATTATGGTATTTAGCATTAGGATTAGGATGGCGAGGTAGGACATATAGCGGGTTTTCCGCTCGAATTTGAGTGCCCATCTGGGGAAGTAACCTCTATCTTACAGAAGACCACAGTAAAATAACACTACCTTTTGTTGGTGTATCCGTTGGTGAGAAAGGTTTTAAAGCTCCTCGGTTCGGATGGGGTCAGGGTAGGCAAAGGCGCAAGTGATATTTTTTGTAACGCAAGCATCTATAGGCCGAACGCTCAATAAAAGTCGTTCGAAGGTAGCTCGACAATATTAAATAAAAAATTGATTCCGACAAAGCAGCCTGTAAAGGCTGCGAAATGTCAGTAAATAAATAAAGTTTCGTGCATTAACCCATGAAAAACTAGTTTTATTTAATGAGTGATGTGCGTGAAAACCTAAGAAACAAATATCTATAGGCTATTGTTGCCGCTTACCATCAGGCGGGCCCAGTGACGTAGTTGACCTATTTGAGGCCCTGGGCATATTAGGATAATGGGGCTCCTATGACCACGTTTGGTGATTTAACATGAACTAGGGACTTTGTATTTGATCTGAGGGGAGCCCCTATCAATCGCGGGGCCCTGGGCACTTGCCCAAAGTGCCCTCTGGGAAAGAGGAGTCTGGGCGGGCCATTAGCTTGTTTGCCACCCTTTTAACATAAAGAAAACTTTTTATATCCAACAGAAGTCCTTGCAATGGTTCATAATATTTTTTTACATTCACAAAAGAGAATAACAAAGTATATAAACCACTCACCGTTAAAACTACAAATGGATATATGTGACAAAGGCATCTCGGGCACTTCGTACTGTTTGCTGCACACCACCACCTCCTCAGGTTCCAAGGCAAGCGCTTCGTCTGCAGAAACCATTACTGTTAACGTCTGGTCGTTGGTCAGACGTGACTTCAGGAATTTGGAGATTTCATCGAACTCAAATAGGGAACCGCCCTGCCATAATGCTACAACCTGTGTGTGATTTAATGAACATTTTATCAACTATGCCCATTATTGCTGTAATTCATCTCATGATTTATAGGTATAATATCATATTTATATGAGAAAACCTACACAAATATGGTTTCGAACTCAATATTGTCGGAGGGTAGACCGATATGTATACCAATAACAACCTACAGCAGAGCACACTGACTCGGTGAAACACAGTAATCTCTCGTACACTATGAATGTATATCGCGTATATTGTATCTCGCTCTATCTCTGTGTGATTTCCTATTGCATCTCTATTTGTATAGTATAGCATTTACTAGGGAACCTCGTTTACCACGGGCGCCACTGTACTGCCATTGCAGTTTCACTGCTAAGAGAGAAGAAATTAAAGAAAATCACAAACAGAGAAGTGTTACATAGGTACACGATATAAATACGACAGATTCCCGAAGTTTCGCTACCGCGTTTCTCCACATCAGTGTGCTAAAGGCGAAAATAATTTTAGAAATATTGCTCAATATTTAGTAGGTTTGTCATTAATTTGGCAAGAAACTCTGCAAAGATATGTTTTCCTCCATATTATTTCATAGAATGTCATCAATTGAAAGATGACATCAAACCTAGAAAACATGTATGGATGGTAATTTTATCACATCCTTAGCACTTACATTTTTGTTATTTTTATGTTTCTGCCACCTACTCCTCATTTTGTTAAGGTATTGCTCTCTGATAAGGGGGTTCTCATACAAAGTCCATTTGGACATGAGCCCATCTAAGCGAGCATTCATTTCTGCACAGAGCGATATGTAGTTTGGAGGTAACAGGGAATCTGTAAGAAATGATAATTTTAATTTGGGAAATGGATGCAAACTATTACAATAAGAAAGGTTTGTCAAACTCTTAAGGTATGTCCTACGTTAATGGCTGTGCTGTGGCTTAATGCAGAGCAGACCTTAAAGAGTTCAATCTGTCTGAGACAACCTTTATAAAATTGTTCTTTCTACATAAGTAAATTGAGGAATTATGCTTTTATGTAAATGTAAACAGTTCTACAGGAAAACTGTAGAGGAACTAGGTGGATCGGCAATGGCTTCAGTGGCACAAAAGAGGAGGCACTATTTATAGTGCAAAAACTGTACTAACTTAAGAGACCCCCCACACTTAGCATCTTTCAAGCTTCGTCGTCATGTCAATGTACATGCATCGTTGATTTTTTTAACATATTAATACAATAAGAGAGGTATTTTATATCCTTTTAAATTGAATCAATTGTAAAAGTCGTCAAGTATTTATTAAATCATAGGTAAATAATCATTACAGAGTATTTTATTAATTATGTTTATAGTTCAAAACTAATTAATTATTTTCTGAACTTGAAAACTCCATAGAAAATCTTCCCATATTGATAATGATATTGCCGTATAGTGTGGGGGTTTTTAACATTCTATGATGAACATGATAATTCAAAATCCTCATGGCTTAAATATTCAGTTTTAGGACCACTCTAGACATCTCAACCAAGAATAACAATAAAAATGTATGTTTCAAAATAATTCAAAGAAGCTCTTACCATCCTCATCAGCTAAACCACTTTCACAAAGCGAGGAATCCAACTTTTTCCAGTTTTCATGTGCATTAATAGCACTCATTCTCAACAAAGTGATGGATCTTGCAACACATTGTGGTATGGTGCCATTGTGTAAATCGGACCATAGTGACATTCTATCCTCAATAGTTTTTGGAAGAAGCTCCTTGTCATCTTGATCATCCCATGGCATCCAAAGGTCATTGTAATAAAATCTGAAAGTAACTTAAAATTCTTCAATAATCAAATAATTTAAATTTGAAAAAAAGTAAAATCCCTAACATGTTAACAGGGAAATGTTGGGTCTGTGTGACACCATTACAAATTGTGCAAAACAGAGCACTGACTATGCAGGTCTATGTATTTTAGTTTCTATACTGCTAAGTACCGAAAATTTGTGAGATGAGCCAAACATAGACTGTTGCATATTGCCATGCAAGCTCTTGGACCACTTTTTTTAACACATTTTTATCTATACTTATGGGCATTATTTCTGCATACTGATACTGACCTCAGTAAATCTATAAACTCTGCTGTTGTTAATGCATCAACACATTTCTCCCTTTGTTTGACTGTTGGCCACAATTCTATGAGTGGTACATCTTCAACCATCTCCGGTAATGAAACAGCCTCATGCTGTACGCTCAGGACATCCACAGTAGCTGAGAGTGCTTCGAAGTCTACCGAGGTCACTGACACATACGCAATGCAGGGAAACCGAACCTCTGAAATAAGAATTTTATAATTTTGTTTATTGAACCATAATAAAGTCAGCAGTTATTTCTGCAATCACACTAATATTATAAAGGGTGAAAGTTTGTGAGTGTGTATGTTTGTACTTCTTCACATCTAAACGGCTGGAGCCATTTTAATAAAATTTGGTATGGAGTTAGCTAACACCGTTTGACTATGTTTACCCTAATAAACCAAGGGGAACACTGCAGGGCATAGCAAAGAATAAATAAATAATAGAGGTATTATTATTGTGGATACTATTAAACAAAGACAGTAGGGTTAAGAATTTATGGATCCACTATGGACAAAAGTAATGAAAGTATATAAAACTGGTATGTTACTCTTCTTAAAACAAAAATCTTAGCCAATTTATTTGTTCAAATCTAGATGACTACAAATTTTTTAATAGTATACAGTCAAAAGCACTAAGTATATTATTTTCTGAGTAGTGTAATTCTGTAAATAGATCATTGTATCTAGTATGAAGAGAAGTATAAAGATGTTCTCACCAAATAATTTACAGAAGTTTTTGGACAATTTCCATAGTGCGTCCCAGCCTACGGGCTCAACTAACAGCTCGGCCTGCAGGCTGCGTTGCTCCCTGGCTGTACCGCGCACACTGAAGAGCCTCAACAACGCCTGGAGGATCTCGTTATCACTACGAGAGAACGTAAACACTGACGGCATCTAAAATAGGGTATTGACACAATTAAAATTATAGTTTTATCTTAGCTTCAAACTGAATGGTCGTCATTCAACGTAGATGGTCTGATTTTATCCATAACACGAAAAAAAGAAGCGGAAACTTTTCACTGTTACTTGCCTCTGATCAAGTTATAAATTATTCAGGTGAAATGTTTAACTAAAATTAACAAGTGTAGTATTCTGTTCAAATTTTATTGATGAAGTCATCTGCCTAATTTGTAAACAACCGTTCGAACTCAAAATTTTCGAATTTGAACCACAGATCAGTGTTACCAACTCTTACCAAAATTTTCCCATTAGTATTTTTTAAATTCCCCTAAAATCCCCTAAATATACATTTTTTAAGTACCTACCTATTACCCGAATTCTTTCGTTGCTCATAAATTAAAAAGTTACATATTTAGTTACAGTAAATTATTTTATTGAATAAATACAGTTTCCGAAAGGACAATCAAAGGAAAATGAGCTGACAAGCTGTTTAATCTTATTTACCTGTTTTTTTAACTTTAGTCCATACAGCCTTAGGGTGCGGCCAGAGTGCACTCAGATTCAGATTCAGATTCAGATTTCGAAAACAAGCGCGAGAAATAAACACTGTAATCGAAGGGTACGGCCAGAGTGCACTCCTGATTCAGATTCAGATTCAGACTCAGAAAACAGAGCGCGAGAAAAAGCAGGCAACCTGCTTAGATTACACTGTTTATTTCTCGCGCTTGTTTTCAGAATCTGAATCTGAATCTGAATCTGAGTGCACTCTGGCCGCACCCTTAGGGGGTTCTTTTAGGGGATTTTATCAAAACTTGCAATTAAATCGAAAAACATAGCGTGTGTTTTCTTTTAGTTTTGTGCGTAGAATGGTACCACGATATGAAACAACTGAACTGACTGAGTGGCGGGTTGTTTCCTAAGGGTACGGCCAGAGTGCACTCAGATTCAGATTCAGATTCAGATTCCGAAAACAAGCGCGAGAAATAAACAGTGTAGTCGAAGGGTGCGGCCAGAGTGCACTCAGATTCAGATTCTGAAAACAAGCGCGAGAAATAAACAGTGTAGTCTAAGCAGGTTGCCTGCTTTTTCTCGCGCTTTGTTTTCTGAGTCTGAATCTGAATCTGAATCAGGAGTGCACTCTGGCCGTACCCTTCGACTACACGGACTAGGCGGGCCTGCTGTGCAATCACTGGCTGCATGAAAACCACTCCCACATCAGCACTGGAGACTATACTTGACGTGAGACCACTACATTTGTTTATACAACAGGAAGCTGCTTGTACAGCCACACGACTAAGCATGCTGGGGCTATGGAGGGACAACAGCTCCCCACACACCAGCATTTTAGCAGACATATACAGGTACTTTCCGTACTTTGCTGCAGTAAACGATCTTATTCCAAAGACGTACGTATTCGACAAAAAATACAAAATTCAACTTTATGAAGACACTCCGGACCATTGTCTGCAAAAGGAGTTGAGGGTCTACACAGACGACTCAAAAACCAACTACGGTACAGGTTCGGGTGTCTTCTCTGAAGACCTAAATATACACATCTCAACAGCATTGGGAGCCTATAACACGGTCTTCCAGGCAGAGTGTGTGGGCATAATCAAGGCCGCTGAAGCGATAGATTGTCGCAAGGTAAGAGGAAAACACATTCGTATTCTCTCTGACAGCGCTTCTGTCCTACAGGCACTGGACAACAATATAATGACATCAGGCTTAATTTATGAATGCCACTGTAAGTTGACTAATATTGCTAACGACAATAGATTGACTTTGCAGTGGATTAAAGGACACAGCGGCTCAAGGGGTAACGATGCGGCGGACTGCTTAGCCAGGGAAGGTTCTAGCAGGACGGCCATTGGTCCGGAGCCCATTGTACCCATACCCTATCGACAGCTGCGAACATGGATAAGGGAGCGCTGTCAACGACAACATAACGAATACTGGACAGAACTCACAGACTGCAGGCAAGCTAGGGAAGCCGTTCCCAAGGTAAACCTGCAGCTAACACGTAAGTTAATCAGACTTCCTAGACAAGCCTTAAAACAAATCGTGGGTATACTCACGGGTCACGGCTATTTCAACAAACACCTTTGTAATATAGGTATTTCTGACAGCCCTCTGTGCAGAGCCTGCCTGGAGGACGAGGAGACGAGCGCCCATGTGCTGCTGGAGTGCACGGGCGTTGCAAGACAAAGGATTTCTCTAATGGGAAGCCCGAAGACTATAGTAGAGGCCTGCAGTAACGTTCGGGGACTGCTGAGCTTTCTGGAGGAGCTGGGATGGCAGGACTGATGCCAATCCCCACGCAAAATAGGCACCAAAGGTCGAGTTGCGGAAACAGCCCGCCGTTCTACTAAGACTAAGACTAACCTTCTAAAACGTTCCATTGCGTTGTTATAAAGTCAGTAACTAACATATTCAAATTCTTTCCAATCTGTGTAGGTCTATGTTTATTTTGCACTTTTTTTGTTTCATAGTTATTTATTAAGCGACCATATTATTAAGAACTGTGATTGATTCGCGGTTTATTGTGCTTTTCGCTTGACTGTATTTGATTTATTCAAGTGTAACACTTTTATTCTGTCTGTGCTGTGTATACCTATTTGAATCCGGACGTAACCCTGCGTACAAACCACTCGGCCACGGAGGTCGTCAAATTCTGCTCATTCTATAAATAAATCATTTAGGAATGGTAAGATATAGTAACAGAAAATTGATAGTTTTACCTCAGTTCATACCTCTACTCAAAATAACTGAAAAGTGGCGCACACCCGCAATTGTGGTATGTGTAATGGTAACCTAGATTAAAACAAAAAGGGAATATACGGCACTCGTGGCTCAAAAGGTATCCGCTTAAATTCTGGTGCATGACCAAACACGATGCATGTGCACTCAATATAACAATATGTATTGCATAAATTCTATGTTACACAGATAAAATAATGCCTTCGATACTTTTACAAAGAACAAAAATAGTTAAAGATCAAATTAAAACTGTCACGGCAACACATTCTTATGTAAAAAAAAAACAAAGAAAACTGAAGATTAGGCTGTATGGGTATTGTTCCCTTTGCCTTACCCAAAAAGGGAGAACGTTAAAAGAAAGAAATTGACATTATCTGTTCGAATTAGCTTGCTACTTAAATAGTAATCTGTGACACGGTTCCCAACTTAGGGGTTTTGCCCCCAGATTTAGGGGCTAGAAATATTAAAACGGACTTTTTTAGGGGCTGGAATTTTTTGGGGGTTCTTTTAGGGGATTTTATCAAAACTTGCAATTAAATCGAAAAACATAGCGTGTGTTTTCTTTTAGTTTTGTGCGTAGAATGGTACCACGATATGAAACAACTGAACTGACTGAGTGGCGGGTTGTTTCCTAAGGGTACGGCCAGAGTGCACTCAGATTCAGATTCAGATTCAGATTCCGAAAACAAGCGCGAGAAATAAACAGTGTAGTCGAAGGGTACGGCCAGAGTGCACTCCTGATTCAGATTCAGATTCAGACTCAGAAAACAAAGCGCGAGAAAAAGCAGGCAACCTGCTTAGACTACACTGTTTATTTCTCGCGCTTGTTTTCAGAATCTGAATCTGAGTGCACTCTGGCCGCACCCTTCGACTACACTGTTTATTTCTCGATTTTTCGATTTAATTGCAAGTTTTGATAAAATCCCCTAAAAGAACCCCCAAAAAATTCCAGCCCCTAAAAAAGTCCGTTTTAATATTTCTAGCCCCTAAATCTGGGGGCAAAACCCCTAAGTTGGGAACCGTGTCACAGATTACTATTTAAGTAGCAAGCTAATTCGAACAGATAATGTCAATTTCTTTCTTTTAACGTTCTCCCTTTTTGGGTAAGGCAAAGGGAACAATACCCATACAGCCTAATCTTCAGTTTTCTTTGTTTTTTTTTTACATAAGAATGTGTTGCCGTGACAGTTTTAATTTGATCTTTAACTATTTTTGTTCTTTGTAAAAGTATCGAAGGCATTATTTTATCTGTGTAACATAGAATTTATGCAATACATATTGTTATATTGAGTGCACATGCATCGTGTTTGGTCATGCACCAGAATTTAAGCGGATACCTTTTGAGCCACGAGTGCCGTATATTCCCTTTTTGTTTTAATCTAGGTTACCATTACACATACCACAATTGCGGGTGTGCGCCACTTTTCAGTTATTTTGAGTAGAGGTATGAACTGAGGTAAAACTATCAATTTTCTGTTACTATATCTTACCATTCCTAAATGATTTATTTATAGAATGAGCAGAATTTGACGACCTCCGTGGCCGAGTGGTTTGTACGCAGGGTTACGTCCGGATTCAAATAGGTATACACAGCACAGACAGAATAAAAGTGTTACACTTGAATAAATCAAATACAGTCAAGCGAAAAGCACAATAAACCGCGAATCAATCACAGTTCTTAATAATATGGTCGCTTAATAAATAACTATGAAACAAAAAAAGTGCAAAATAAACATAGACCTACACAGATTGGAAAGAATTTGAATATGTTAGTTACTGACTTTATAACAACGCAATGGAACGTTTTAGAAGGTTAGTCTTAGTCTTAGTAGAACGGCGGGCTGTTTCCGCAACTCGACCTTTGGTGCCTATTTTGCGTGGGGATTGGCATCAGTCCTGCCATCCCAGCTCCTCCAGAAAGCTCAGCAGTCCCCGAACGTTACTGCAGGCCTCTACTATAGTCTTCGGGCTTCCCATTAGAGAAATCCTTTGTCTTGCAACGCCCGTGCACTCCAGCAGCACATGGGCGCTCGTCTCCTCGTCCTCCAGGCAGGCTCTGCACAGAGGGCTGTCAGAAATACCTATATTACAAAGGTGTTTGTTGAAATAGCCGTGACCCGTGAGTATACCCACGATTTGTTTTAAGGCTTGTCTAGGAAGTCTGATTAACTTACGTGTTAGCTGCAGGTTTACCTTGGGAACGGCTTCCCTAGCTTGCCTGCAGTCTGTGAGTTCTGTCCAGTATTCGTTATGTTGTCGTTGACAGCGCTCCCTTATCCATGTTCGCAGCTGTCGATAGGGTATGGGTACAATGGGCTCCGGACCAATGGCCGTCCTGCTAGAACCTTCCCTGGCTAAGCAGTCCGCCGCATCGTTACCCCTTGAGCCGCTGTGTCCTTTAATCCACTGCAAAGTCAATCTATTGTCGTTAGCAATATTAGTCAACTTACAGTGGCATTCATAAATTAAGCCTGATGTCATTATATTGTTGTCCAGTGCCTGTAGGACAGAAGCGCTGTCAGAG